AAGTCCTCCAAGGCTTGCGCTGATCTCATGGCTAAACACCGCCTGTGCATGACAGGTACGCCTATGATGAATAGCGTTGATGAGCTTTACCCGCTCCTCCGGTTCTTGAAGGCGGAGCCGTATTGTACGTGGAACAAATTCAGTCTCGAGATTGCCAAAGTAAGTGTAGAGTAGGACGATCTATAGTATCGTACTTCGCTGACGAATGGTAGCCCATGAAGACCACCAACGAGCACACCAAGAAGCGCGCGCTTGATCGCATCCAAATCTTGATCAAGGCCATCATGCTCCGACGTCAGAAAACCACCGTTGTCGATGGGGAGCCCATCTCCAAGATCCCACCTAAGCACTCCGTTATTGATAATGTGGAGTTTGAAGACGAAGAATATGCTCTGTATAAGGCTCTCGAAACCAAGTCGCAGCTTCAGATGAACAAATACCTGCAGAAGGGTACTGTCACAGCCAATTACGCCAATGTTCTGGTTCTACTGCTTCGTCTCCGCCAAGCATGTTGCCATCCTCATCTGATCAAGGACCTCAGCCAGCCGGCGACTGAGGGTATTGCCGAAGACGACCTCTTGATCCGTGCTGAAGAGTTGAATGATGATGTCATCGTGCGGCTGAAGGCAAACGATACGTTCGAGTGCCCAATTTGTCTCGAAGCTGATCCAAATCCGACCATCATCATTCCGTGTGGACATACGGTTTGTGGTGAGTGTGTCCAGAAGCTCATCGATCCAGCACTGCGTGCTGCACAGGATGGCAACGATGAGACCAGCACGCCCAGGTGTCCGCACTGTCGCGGCGAGCTAAAGGCTAAGCTCATAACGGACTACAAGCATTTCTGCAAAGTCCACTGTCCTGACCGTCTTGGGTCGGCCGACCTATCTGAAGAAGAGGAGGCCGTGGTCGAGGACGAAGACTCTGACTCCGACTCTGAGGACGAAGATGGCGCACCAGATATTGACAAGAAGGGTAACCTAGCTGGTTTCATTGTCGATGATGATGAAGATGAGTACGCAGCCGACGAGGCGGACGACGACGATAATGTTGGCTCCACACCCGAGATCAAGGTGAAGTCCGAGGGTAAGAAGTCGAACAAACGTAGCAAGGGTAAGGGTAAGGCACGCGCCAAGCCCAAGCAGACTCTTGCTCAACTCAAGAAGGAGTCGCTCCGCAACAAGAGCGCCAAGAAACGCTACCTGCGTCGTCTGGACAAGACCTACATCACGTCTGCGAAGATCAGCAGGACTGTTGAACTGATCAAGGAAATCAAGAAGAACGATGCGACTGAAAAGACGCTGGTCTTCTCTCAGTTCACGTCCTTGCTGGACCTTGTCGAAGTTCCTTTGTACCGTGAGAAAATCACATATCGACGCTACGATGGCAGCATGAAGATGGATGAACGTGCCGATGCTGTCAACGCTTTCATGGACGATCCAAACGAGAATGTCATGTTGGTTTCCCTGAAAGCTGGCAACGCTGGCCTCAATCTCTGGAAGGCATCGCGAGTGATTATACTGGATCCTTTCTGGAACCCATTCATCGAAGAGCAGGCTGTTGATCGTGCTCACCGCATGCCTCAGAAGCGCGAGGTCCATGTACATCGCATTATCGTGCCTGAGACCGTTGAGGACCGTATCGTCGCCATCCAAGACAGGAAGCGTGATGAGATCAATGCCGCTCTTGACGAGAAGGCATCAAAAAGTCTGACTCGTCTCAACTTGAATGAGCTCAAGTACCTGTTCGGTATGGGCTAGTGTATTCTCCAGAACGGACAGGTTTTCTCCTGTTTTCCCTTTTGTATGATCCTTCATGGTCTCGGTTCCAAGTCTCAATATTCCCCTTTCAGATACCTGTTTTTCACTACGACGTTGCGCAAGCATCTGTCTCCCGCATATTTAAACGCACGAACGCATACTTTCACATTTTGATACCCGATCTCAAAGATCAAGACTGCCTTTTCTCAGGGGGATATATATCGACGTAGGATGCGGGTATGTGGCGTTTTTGCTTCTACTTCACGGCGTACACGAAAGTGGATGGGAGTTCTAATGGCACAACGTAATATAATATCGACGTACAATTCGGTATTTAATGGACTTCGTTTTAATTGTGCCATCCGTATAGTAATGTTTCTGAGCTTACTCCATCTTCCAAGCCCATGATTTCGTGTGGCTGGGTTTACAGGAAACAGGTAACGTTTTCAACGATACGTTTGACAGATTGTGTGGAATGCGCTTGTTCTTTCGAGAAACAAACAACCCATTTATTACTGTTATCAATCTAGGAAAACTTGAGGAACACTTTTGCAAAGGAATCTAATACCAACAATGTCTTGAACCTGTTCTGTCTGACCCTAAAGTCCAACGCTTTGGTGTCTTTTCCAATTTTTGCCCATCGCACATAGTCTGTAATATATGCCCTTGTTAACTCAGACGCTTGAGCGCAACGTCAGTCACTTGCAACAAAGCGCTCGTCGAATACTTAGGTGTCAAGAAAACAAACTGATAGGGTTTTGTTGCATCGGATGTATGTTTCCACACGGAAGCATTTATGATGCGGGCTCAGTCCCGTCGCGCCTTGTTGCGCTGCCCAACAGTCTTTCCAGACTTCTGATTGCTGCACATCATTTACAAATCTACTACGCAAATGCGCAAGCACGCTCGCCTCCAGTGACTTAACGAGATGAAGCTCACCTTTGCGGCAGCCATTGGCACGCGTTAAGCTGTTACCGGTTGCATCCCCGCAGCGCATCCTATGCTCTTCTCTTACTTGTCCAGATTATTGTATGACGGTACGCACATATTTAAGAGCGCGAGGAATACAGCGGCGGCGATCTGCTAGATGTGCGCACCTCCTCTCAAGCACCTTTGCCACTCCTTGAACTTCAGCCTCGTTCACTTGCACACGCCAGATCGCGCTCTATCACGTTGCGTCCAGCAGCTTATGCTTGTCACTGTTCGTCACTTTGTGCGCCACCGTCACGCATCACGATCCAGAAAGACATAGTGAAGTATTCTCATATATTATCATCCAAAACAACAATTCTGCAAAAGACCCTTGAAATATGTGCCTGCCATACTGTCGTTCAATGTAAGACAGGAAGAGAAACCAAAAGAGATTAGGTATCGTGTCTATTCCTCGATTCCTTCAAGGTTTTGGGTAAGGCCTCTGGTGTATTTCGTCTTCCCCTTGTTCTTCTTATCATTCGGATTGCGCTTAGCTTTGTCGTCGAGGGCTGCATTACCTGGCGCTGAATTGCTGACAGTCTTCCGGGAGCTGTAGATAGCGCCGGACACAGGGATTGGGGAAATGGCATCGCTCGCGTTTGACCGGTCCCAAAGTAAGTACTCTCTGTTACTGATCGCTTTCTGTAAGGCAGAATACATACTCACCAGCTCTTTGACATTATTGCCGCTCTGGGAAGTCTCACTGATTCTGGCTTCGATGTTTTTCAGTTCATCTAAGGCTCTTGTCTTGAGTTGAGTGTCTGTCAACGGAACTTTTTCGGCGTTGGCATCTTTGATCATATCCCAGGTGACCGTCTTACCCCAGTTCATAAGATCGTAAACTCTGTTCGGACCATCTTTGAAAACCGCCTTTGGATGGTCGGTACACTGTGGCGACTTTACAGAAAAAGAGTTCATACAGCGGACACGAGGCGATTTTCCCTCATGATTTACGTATACCCACTCCAGGCAAAATCCAAAGATACCGTCCCGGAAAGCCTTCCGACTTTTGGCACCTCCCTCTGGCACGTGGTGGGACGATTCGAACGAAACGCCTGTGGCACCGTTCATCACATTGTCATTCCAGTCACCGCCCTTCCAGACACGGACGGTCTTGGAGTAGAGGTCGTCGAGATTGCGGATTACATAGTCGTCGGGTTGCGGTTGCTCCATGAAGGTGAGTCGAAGAGGAATCGACTTTGCTTTCTTGTCACCCTTGTGGTCTCCTGAGGTCAACTTGCTTTTGGTTCTGTTGAAGCTAGGCATCTTAGGCTGTCTCTGTGTCGTCTAGTAGCTGAGCTTTGCTATGAATAGTACGATGAGTGGCTATGTGTTGTAGTTGAGAGCACGATGGGCCAGTATCCGTCCTTATGACTGATGTAACTCGGAGTGTCGGAAATTGGAAGGTTAGGTGAGGGCGTCGATGGGTTGCGGATGTAAAGACTCTAAGTATGTGTACGTTGTCAGGAAGTTAGTTTTGATTCTCGGTAGAGAGGTCGAGAAGCCAGTGGAGCGAGGTCTATGCCGGTCCTGTCTGGTAGGGCGCTGAGGGCCTTTGATATACTGTGAGGCGCAAGGGGTGAATTACAGCAGCTCGAAAAGAGCCGTGACAGTCATTCATGGTAAGGCTCGTGTAGGTTTCGAGAGCACTGTACGTGATTCACAAGGACCGCAAGAGACGGAAAGCCCCATACTAATACCGACATATTCATACTTGGCTATGTGTGAAAAACCATTGCATGTAAGAGTTTTTTTTTGACGCCTGTCTCTGTTTCCGTATCTAGGCTGTCGGTTTCATGACATACAAAAGACCTCATTGGGACTGTTGCTTGGTATCATGTCGATTCTCTGCTTCGCCTCGCAGGACGTGGGACTACACGGTGGACGTGAACGATAGACCAAACGGGAACCTACCGTAAGCATAACGTAGAAGCTACACAATGTTGTTCCACTTCATGCTGAGGAAATTATATTGAGTGCTGTCTTTGTGAAAAAGCTCCGATAACGACCGTAGAAGTCCAGGTAGCTGCTCAGGCTTAGGGTATCAGCTCTTCTTCACTCATAGTTTTGCATTACGTGCGGTGCAACTCATCTTTTGAGCACTGACCTCACAGGAAGAGCGGTCTTGAAATATTATATTCACTCAGTGTGCCTGCGCCTTTCTTGCTATAAGATTCTTCCACACTGCGCCTTTATCTTCTTCCACTCTTTGTCTGACGTTGAGAACTCAACTTTGGAGACAGCAACGATCAAACTTTGAGTCGCACAATGATGTTTGGTCTCAAGAACAAGAAGCGCCTAAATGCCGCAACTACTGGCTTCTCTTCCGAACCCAAGCCTTCCGCGTCAACCCGTACTATTCAACGCAACTCATTCGAAAAGGTAGTTACTGCCGGCAAGAACCTCTGCTACAACCTTTCCGTCACCCTGACCCGCAAACCTTGTCGACAGACTTCGCCGATAAATCGGTCCACCTCAGCAAACCGCCCATCAAGCAACGCATCGACTGCCACAACATCCAACCAGAACTTAGACAACTGTGACGCGGGTTCGCTATGTCAAAAGTCTTCAAGCTCTACGTTACTAACTGAAAGTTCTCTCCTGGTTCTCGATTGTGGCGAGACGTTCTACGTGCCTGGCATCTCTCCTTCTAGGTCCCACCTGGATACAGGACGAGCACCTATTCAGGAACCAAACGGTCTTTCAGTATCCTCAATGGAATCTGCCACGTCTTGGAACAACACCAAATCTTTGGACCAACCTGAAGAGGAAACTCCTGCGGTGCCAGAGCAGCTCTATGTCAAGAAAGGGATGAAAAATCGTTTGTGTCGACATCTCAAGGCTACTTACAAGAATTTAATCCTCCCACGATTGCTCCGTTTTGGTCGCAATTCCAGTAGATATGGCTCCGCCGTTGATGAAGATGCGCCACCCGCAATCAATGAGCCAGTCGACCAGTGCGAAACCGTGGATACTGATTCAGACGACGACGACGACGACGACGAAGAAGAAGAAGAAGAAGAAGAAGAAGAAGAAGAAGAAGAAGAAGAAGAAGAAGAAGAAGAAGAAGAAGGTGATGGCTCCCACCCACGTTGTGACTTCCAGACTATTGCAGCCATTTCCGATACGAAGTACCATGAGCTCTTCAAGGCATGCAACCTGTTCCCTTCCGCCGATTGTGTAGCTGTAGTGCGTCGCGACAAAGGTGCATACAATGCAGCAACTTTTGTCGATGTCCTCGACGGTGGAAAAACCCATAAATTCGTGGTCCGCGTGCCTGGTCACGGAACACTTGAACACTGGACAGATGAAGATGCATACGTGTTAGAGCGCGAGGCCCAACTCATTGAGTACATTCGCAAGAACACTGCCGCGCCCGTCGCACAGGTTATCGACTATGCTACTGGCCACGAAAATGCGCTTGGCTTCCCTCACATTGTGATGACGATGCTGCCCGGTAAGCCTGCTTACACGCTCTGGTTTCCGGAAGGATACCCTTTTGTAGGGGACGACGATGTCTTCCGTGATGCGGACGTCCCCCCTCCCTACATCGAGAAAAGGCGCGTTGCATTTCTACGCTCATTAGCGAAGGTAATGACACGTATCCAAAGCCTTGAGTTTGATGGCATTGGAGTGCCTGCCTTTGATAACGATGGGAGACTTACTGGCACTGGCCCTACATGTCATTTCAAGGGCGCGTCCGATGTTTCATTCAAACGTCAACCAGCGGCGACTACTCAGGAGTATCTCCAGGCTCGAATGAAATCCAAGGTGAAACATTTGGATGAGCAGCACGAGCTCGGTGATTTGGACGGCCTCCTTGAAAACCTTGGTATTCGAACCATCCTCAACCTGGTCTTTGCTCAACCTGCTTTCCATGGACCGGCCGGCGAAACTTTTACTATCCATCATAACGATCTTGATCTGCAAAACATTCTTGTCGATGAAGAAGGCAATGTAACCGGCATCATCGATTGGGACAATGCCATGTCTGCACCACGCTGCGTCGGTGCTTCAGCCGTTCCAAGGTTTCTACGCAACGATTGGTTCCCAGAGTGGGAATCCAGGCTGGAGGTCTCGCCATATATGGCATGGAACTACCATCACTACCGTGAGATCTATGCAGCGGCTCTGGTTGAGGCCGGCAACATCGAGGATGCCAAATACACAACTAAATCTGCCCTCTATCAAGCCGCTATCGCTACATGCACCGAAGGTGTGAGCGACTACGACTTCATACCGAAATTACTCCACGAGATTCCCCATTGTCGCGTCGATGCCAGTGACTTCTTAAAAGGTCTGGGCATGGGTGCTTGGCATTCAGCAATTCGCATGCTCGAGACACACTTCGCAAAGATATTCGAACCAGAGCTGCCTTCCGAAGGTCTACTTGAGGCGCTAGACGTCGAGCTCGAGATGCAGACCACTTGGTGGTCATGTTGTGATGAGCTTCTTAACCTTTACGAGGATGAAAAGACTGATGACGTTTCTCGATCGTCACACATCAACTATTGATAAAGATCGCAGCTGTTCTCGGAAACGAACACCCCTTGTCTTAGCATCACCTTACTGTAGAAGATGACGTTCGGCTCTATCACCAGTGCTTAATCAACGTAATACATACTCTAACTGAACTATTGGCGCATTCTTACATGCACTTGCTAGCTAGCAGCATCGACAACGATAACACAAAAGCCTCAGAGCTAGTACAGAGGGTCATTTCGGGTTCTTCTTCTTGAATGACTGCAGTTGTTCTGTCTTTGTACTTGGGGTCAGCGAGCATATACATATACATTGCATTTTCCTACGCGAAATCATAAAACACAAAAATGAATCAAAGGATCTCTCATTCACGACCCAAGATGCTTAGTGATGTGACGTAGTTGGAGCTGTACTCCTTCGCACCGAGCCTCGTGTTCTGCGTTGGTGAATAAGGATGGCTTGCTTTACCCATCAGGAACAGCCAGCTCAATGTGGAGCATTCCTACCAGTACGATCCAATTTTCGTTTAAAACACCAAAACCGCATTATGTATATATGAATAGATCACCTACGCTTCGTGATACATCAATCTACGCGGATTCTCCTAGATTCAACGCCGACGGTCCCGGTCATCGCGGCGATAGCGATCTCGACTCCTGTCCCGGCGGCTGTCACGGTGGCGATTTGGGCTACGACTTCGCTCTCGCCTGCGGTCATTGTACCGTCCATCATCGCCATCGCGACGTTCGCGCTTGGGACTCCGGCTACGATTCCGCTTGAAGCGGTCGTCATGGTATTCCTCCCTCCTCTCACGCCTCCGTGTATCGTCCCGTCGTCTATCCTTGCCGCTGTCCTTTGGACCTTGTGTAGTATCTTGTGCAACATCTCGGTCGACGACCAGATTGTTTACAACAGAATCTGACATGATCTGGCGCCCGGAGCCATCGCGATACTGCTTTTTCTTCTCGAGATTGTCGATACCACCAAAACCGCCAGCAGCCCGCCTCCTCTTCTTATTTGTAACATCCCGCCAATCGTCGGCTATCTTTGAAACGGACTGGGAGAAGTCAACATGTATGCGGTGGTCGTCGATCAGAACACCATCCATCTTGAAATAGGCCTGCTCGCAATCCTTCTGGTTGGTGTATTCAATGAAGGCGTATTGCAGGCTATCACCTGTACGCTTGTCTCTAATGACCTCACAGCTAAGGATCTTGCCAAATCGCGAAAAGATGAGCTCCAGATCTTCGTCTTGCGTCACTGGGTTGAGCTTGCAGACGAACAGCACGTTCTCAGGGGGTGCTACTTCGGCGAATGGCAGATCGCCAACCATCTCAAGCGTAAGTGCTTGTGCGCGCGCCTCACGTTCTCTGCGAACCTTTTCCAAGGCTTCTGGGTCATTGTCCTCGTCGAGGTTTTCATCGTATGCGACGCGGACGGTGGCGAGCTGCGCAGCCGAGGGCACGGGGCTCTCTGGTGGCTCGGCGAGGCCCGAGGGGTCGTCGTATGGATCATCGAGGACGACGGTGTGTAGTATGCGAATGTCTTTGAGTGGCTGTCCCTGATCGTCGATATATGCTGTGTTAATCTTGTCCAGTGTGTCAAACCCCTCTACGACTGTGCCGAATATGGCAGCTTTGCCGTCGAGGTAGTCAATGTTTTGTCCCAGGGTGATGATGAACTGGCTCCCAGCGAAGCGCTCGTCTGGATCTTCGGGATTGGGCGCGGTAGCCATGCTGACGGTCCCCATGTCGGCATGCCTGAGTTTCGGCCTGAACTCGGGCACGAACGTCTTCTTCGCTGGCTGGGCAGGGTCGAGCAAGCCCCATATTGAGCGGCCGCCGTCACTGTCTTTGGAACCGGGGCCGATGGGATCGCCAGTCTGGAAGGAGAAGTTTGGTTGGACGCTATGGACGGGGGCAAAGTTGTAGTACTTGACTTTGCAAAGCTTGAGGAAGCTAAGGCGACAAATTGTCAGTGTCTATTGTATGCTCAGCTTGGGAAGACAGCGGGATGGAGCATGCAGCATGCAGGTGCAAGAACCCAAGGCGCGTAGGGATTGGGCCGACTTACTTTTCACAGCATTTGGGCGCATCGTCGACCAACAGGTCGATGGTGATGTCGCCGAGTGACGTTTCCAGCAGCACAGACATGGTTTGGGTGGTGTCGTGCCGCAAACAAGTGTTTGTCGCAAATGTTCGTCAACGCGCGCGCGACAGCAGCGCCCGAGACCGCGTAGCCTTGCTGCTTAGTCACCATGACGTAACACTCGAACCGGCTTAGCTCCAGGTACTGTCGCCTTTCTCCATCTTCACGTCTCGCAAGCTGCGGAACCAATACTCTCTGGGCAACGTGTCCCAGCAGCCTTCAGGTCATCTCGCACTCCATTCCACATCACTTCTCATTCCCCACCACCCGCACACAAGGGTGGGGGTTGGACCAGACACCGCTGCTCCGACACATCGAATTAGAGACGCGCAAAAGCGACGCAGACTTCCGTGTCTGTCAAGCCTCGTCCAGAAATAGCAAGGGCATCTGGAATGAGCTTTAAGTACCTACAAGAGGCGGGCCGTTGAGTGTTACCCGGTGTCTGACAGCTATCCATGTCCAATGTTCGGGAAGCCGCTGCACTGCCTGCTGCACATCGATCCGAAATCCCCAGCCCCATCATGCCAGGGGTCTTCAGCCAACGAGCCATCTGCCACTTGTGCCAAAGTCTGTCGAGATGTGCACTAGGCATAGCTCCCCGTCGTCGGTTGCTGGAATTCTGGAAGCGGGCCTCTACTTCTCGCTTCGACCTGTTACCACCCGAAGCCTGACAGCTCGGATCCGTGAGCGAACCCATTGTTTCTATACTCATGTGCTATAACGTCGGCTCGTCGGCAAAACAACTCCACAGTCATCGCTGTGCATTAGCTCTCATGAGCTCTCCTATCTCATGGAGAAGACACAGCATGGCTGATAATTACAAGTGTGGTAACACCGTCACTATCAAAACGGTTCTTTAACACTTCGCTCGTGTATACTTGCACATACTATGTCTATAGACGCACAGAGACGATGGATCCGCGAGCCTTGTAAGCGGCCTGTCATCCCAGCCCCACGGACCTCCCACAGGTCATGGATATAATTCAACTTGCCACAGCTGTGCAACACCAAGTAACCACTGGTGCAAATCTTTGCTTACTGTAGGTTGAAAACTTTGATCAGCAAAGACTGCTTTATGATGATAGATCGTCTGTGGAGACTGTACATCAAAGTTTGCTTGCTCCTTGGCGTATTTCATGCTGCGCTCATTGGCTTGTCGGAAGAGGGATCGCGCCTTTTCATCGTAGGCTCATGGAAGGATCTCACTTCTAAAGCCGAAGCGCCATAGAGCTCTCGGCACTCCAGGGCGTGCTTGTCTCGACAGCCCGCTGATCCAAAATTTAAGCAGTCTGAAATCCGACTCATTGAACGCGCAACATCGTTTTAAGAAGCGCTATGTAGCATGTCTCTCAAGATCGGGCTTGGATGTAACGATCTAGAAGCCGGAACATCGTCAACAAGTACCGTATCGGTCAGCCTTGTCTGGAATAGGTATGTTACCCATCGGAACTCTTCCCCAGCTTTCCCCGTATACCCGTTCACCATGGGGCTATGAGGCACGCAAGCGGCAGCGTACGTTTTCCGGTGTGCAGGGCCGTTGAATAACTAGCCGTGAAGTTGTGTACTTCCTGCATGATCTCCAATGATCAAACCTATAGAGTTGGACAGATTGCAGGCAAATGACGTGATTATGGTTTTGAGCAGTGGACTTGATTCGGACTCAGGCCCACCAGCAACTTCCTTACGAAAGTGGCTGTCATCTGCAGGTACATTTCATTGCAAACCATTAGCACTCAATGCGGTTATTTGGACTAACAGAATATAGTCCATGGGATCAAACATGCCAATGCATATTTTGTGCGCTACTGAGCATCAACACTCGTAGATAGCAGCCTTTCCAAGACGACAGCCTTACATTGCCACTACGAAGTTCGCGCTTCAAAGATCGAGCGTATTCAACGATCTCAACACCCCTGCGAGTCTTGCTTATTCGTCATAGGTCGGGGCAGGCTGAATTACAGCATCAAATCCGTGCCTCATATCCCGGATCCGCGGTAGTACCACGCAGGTTACAAACATTTTGCGGCTGTTTGCCAAAGGCCACTCCTAGTCGATAACGTGGCCTGTTTGTAATAGGAGAGAAATCAGCGTTTGCCCGACTGACCTATTTGCTGAAGCCTCACAGCCGTATGGAGATCCCTTATGGGAAAAGTAGCGCCCATACCTTGAGCCTCCGTAGGTCTCTAGTCGGCTCTGGCGTTTGTTATGAAGCGGGTTCAGAACACTACCTAAGCGGTACCATGTTTCACCTGTCTTCTTCCCCACGGCGCTTGGATAACGCTCTCTTGGAAGCGCATGCTCAAGGCCCCTGTCACCTAGCGGTGACTGTATCGCGCATGCATGCATGCAGGTGTCCGAGGAGCTAACAGGATGGCCTTGTCAGTGGAAAGTACAAACAGTTCCGCGTTAAATGCTCTGATCGAAGATAATCATCCGCATTGCCCCAGCCACGTCAATCATTGAGCGAATCTTTCAAGCTAGTGTCACTACGCAAGAGACTCGTTTGGGCTATAAACGTAGTCCTGCCATCCGATCATCGTTTGATCTGCTCACCGGTCGATTACACCTTTCCGTGGAGCAATGCTCACGGTCCAGTCATTGCCTATTAAACATCCTTGACTCGAACATCGCATTTCGTGAACACTATCCGAGTCATCGCTAAGCGCAGTTTGTCAACAACCGTCGTTCTGCTTCTCGGTGTGATGCAAGTCGAACCCTCAAGTCAACTCGATCTCATAAGACTAACATACAATTGATTCGCCAGTATGTCAGTCATGGAGTACGACACCTCAAGACGCTGTTTGTCTCACAGCCTATCATACCCGAACTACACCTACGAACGTAATGCTCCGCTAGCGCTATCTCACAGCACGAGAGAAAACCCGCGCGGTTATCCCATAGGCGGTATGCACAGCCGAGCTAGCATGGAAGATTCTTTGATGGGAACCGGGGCAGCGAGACGTCGCATTGCTGTAGCGGTAAGATAATGAGTGCTTCGAGATCAGTCGATACGTTCCTGCCGGACCGACAGACACAATCACCTCCCTTCTTGTCAAAGTTTTACTGACATACGATCCAGTGCGCACGGTGCCGCAAGAGAAAGATCCGATGCAGCGGTGATCCTGGAAATGGCACTGGTTGTGCAAACTGTCGACAGGCCGGGGTAGATCCAACGCATTGCCAATTTCACAGAGTACGTCAGACGATTACATTGCGTATATGTGCTAAGTCTGTCAGGTGGGATCCGACGCTGTTCATAAGGTGATAGATGACAGGAACATGGCTTATAGCCTTAGTGGTATGGCCAGTGGCATGGCTAGTGCGCACAACATGATGTCCGTTTACTCTACAGGAAGCAACAGCGCTCTTTATCAACGCCCGATATCGGCTCAGCAATACCAGCAGCTCGACACAAAGCCAATGTGCTCGTCAAATTGGACCATACCTTATTCCGATGACACGTCGCCAGTTGACGCTTACAGTCTTGAGCAATCTCAGGCATACATATCTCAGTCTACAGCAGTAGCAAACACAAGCATGTATTCACCTTCATTTCGCTGGACTCAGCCGGCGACAAAGGCTATCCAACAGGGCGGCATATACTTCGACCAGGGCTTGCATTTCCCTCATACAAACCATCGACTAGCTACGTCTTCGGATATATCCCCGTTCAATACCGGGGTGTCGTCTCTGCATTTGTCGTTACCCGAGAAGGCCCATACTCAACGACCCCTTCCTCTAGAATCCAGTGTACCTCGGAGGCAACTCCCAATGCCGCAGCCCAGTCCGGCACAGACCAATCGTAATGTTGTAGACCAGATGCAGGATGCTCGTCTTCGCTCTGCTCAGGCAATCGGCACCTCTGCTGTGGACAGTAGGACCTCATTCGCGAAACCTTCACTACCCTGGGCCAACGACGGTGAAAATCACACAAATGCATCCGCGGCCATACCGGCAGATGCCTTTACGCAAGCGATATCCCCAGTCGTGTCAGACAATGCGGAGAGTAGAATAGGCTATCTGCCGAACACAACATCCACTGCTGATGACACAATAACAACAACCACTGCATCCCATCTGGAGCTCAACTTCAGCACGTCTGGTCTCCTTGATGCGATGAGTGCACCAGCGCCAGCTACAAATTACTCTTATGTACGCGAAAGTCGTCAGATGGCACGACCAAGTTCCCAGACGAATCTATACAGCTATAGCCCCAGTTCTTCGTCAAAGCGAAACTCATTAAGTGGTGAGTCTGCGAGCGATTGCGCACTCGTAAGCGGTCATCGCTATACGCCTCTCAACCACTCTCAGTTGCAGAGCTCACCTGGAAATCGCAGCTTGCATCACGAGTCATACCAAAGCCGGAACGTGCAGCTCCATCGCACTTCCATGGGGAGCCTCAATAGCACTTACTGAGATACTCGTACCTGGTTGCATGACCGGTTGATCTCCATCCGTCAGCCCATTCATCCCATCTTTACTGCGATACACACGCCTTTCATCAGCAACCTGGCGTACTCAAAACGGCTTGACGATATGTCAATGTACAAGACCTTACAAGGACCGCATTCTCCCAGGAGAGTTTGAGTCCCCCGCGCATTACCTTCACGCATCCTGGACTCGGAACTCGGATTACCAAGCGCTTTGCAACTTCCATGAGCATATTTCTTGACCCAGTCACATTTGACTTTCGATGTTGTTCTCGCCGAACGGCAAGCCTTCCTCGGCTGAATTTGGCTCGTCTTTCTGTACTGCTTATATGATACTGCATTGTAACGCGATATGTTTGTCACACTGTTCTATATCATATCACTTTATGTGTCATCGCCGGGCTACGACACAATACTTTATCGCACGGGCGGTTAATGTGTTTCATTGTATACCAACATCAGTATCATGTCTTTTGACCAAGACAAAACGCCAGGGCCACTCTTTAAGCACATCCCGCATCCTTATCAGGTTCACATTCTCTCACTATGGGGAAGACACATCGAAGCTTAGTATGTATACGATTGCGGCGCATGCGACACCACAAAAACATAGCCGGTCATGTACTGGATACTTTGTACTGATTAGCACAAGAGGGGTCGAGGACGAATAATGATAATCGTAACGAAATTTAACCCTATGGCTCCACCCTACAAAATGGGTAAGATGCTGCCACAGCTTGACACGCGTTGCTAAGCACCTCTCATGTCATTTGAAGAGAGTATGTGCGTCCTCACTTCCCTGAGGTATCTGCCTTAGCTGTATTACCATATTTTGACAGGCTACCCCTACCTTGCTGGCAGATACATTTGCTCGAGCCTAGTTTGCATGTCACCGACTTCAGAGATCTCCCTGCAGGACTCCCGAGTAGGATACACACAGCTCCTCACGGAGACTAGACCACGAAGTCTTCTTTAGCAATACGCTCTCTGCCTCGTCCCGGTACACGCCAGAATACACACCGCCCTCATCTTCTGCACCAAACGCAGTAGACAAACGCGTTTCAGAAACGGGTCTCCGCTGCATCTGGACCCTGCTGCAAGGCAGATACAGGTATACCACCTTGTCCACGTTACACAAGTCTGCACACACAGAAGCACAAGGCCGGTCAGCAGGTGTCACACAGGATGTGCAGGAAAGAGCGTAGTATGGGGCTCCACATGCACACCGCACGCTCAGGGATCATGTTGGATAAATCGCATGTGCGCTGTGTGAGAGCGGTAATGGATGAGGAAAGGGGCCGATGGGCGGCATGGGCATTGTATGTGAATGGGGAAGAGATGCCGGTGATGGGCTGGTGTACAAAGGTGATGAGCAGCAAGCTAGAAGATGGCTTGTGGTATCGAAGGCTGTGACGTTGGTCTGGTTTGGGGTTGAGGAGGACGGACGAGCACTTGAAGGGTGCGTCGTGCTCCTCCACTAAGATCATTTGCCGCTAACGGACGCTAGGGTGTTGGGGGTGAAGGCTTTCGCTCAGCCTTGTCTTCCTTCGTCCTACACACTGCTCCTTTCCCGTCCAGCATCAGATATCTCTTAGTCAAGAAGAAAGGCCACACCGCTCAGTCACGATCGGTATAATGATAGAAAAATAGCGAATATGGCGTCACATCCAGGGCGCGAATGCTGTCAATCCATATATGTACGATAAGCCTACTCCAAACAGACACTTGTCTCTTCTCTTGTGTTCAGTAAGTGCTCATCGTAACACCCAACCTCCCTCCGTCATTAGCAAGTATCAGTCCATTACAGAAGCTGCCCGCCCGACTCGCAAGATACAATATTGTTCCACTCATTTCCTCTTCTCCCCCAAACCGACGTGCGGGGATAAAGTTCGGATCGTCGACGCTCTCCGTACTGGGATCTCTGCTCTCAATAATAGTATTGGCCATTTCTGAGGGAAAGACTAGTATATCTAATCAGCGGCAAGTCTCTAGAGTTGGGAGATTTGGAAGACGTGCATCCAGGTGCTAAAGCGTTAATCCGAATACCGTGCGGTGCAAGTCCCGTGCTAGCGTGTTTGACCATATGTGTGATGGCTGCTTTGCTCCCTGCGTATGCCGGCGCGCACTGCCACTCACGCAAAAAAGCGCCAACGCTAGATGTGATGATGACTTGTGACTGTATACTCGGTACCTTGCTGCCTTCTCCAAGTGGCTTACCAAAGCCACCATCCAGTGCATTCTTGTTCCCTGCATCCAATAACTCAAGGAAAGCGAACATGCTGAAGTATGTCGCAGTTGTGTTGACATGGAATGTCTGCGCAAATTCCTCCATGGCTGTGTCTTCGAATATGTTCTTTCGCAATTCTTGGACGCCGAGACCTGGCACGAAGCTTGATGTTGGACCTAGAATACCAGAATTTGCGACAAGTAGATTGATGAATCCGACATCTTTAGCGATGGTATCAACGGCGGCTTGTAGTGATTCTTTCGATGTTATGTCGCATTGCAGTGGGATAAGGCTTTCATGCTGTGCAGCTGCGAGTTCGAGTTTGTCTTTGCGGCGACCCAGAATGTATACTTTGGAAGCGCCTGCAGATACGAGAGCTTTGGCTATCATAAAACCAATACCTGGGTGCAATATTAGCGGTGCGACTAGAATCGTGGTTTGTTGAGGACTGCAGTGAGAACTCGAATCAGAACAAGATCATATGGAGATACGATACCTGTACCTCCGCCCGTGACAACAGCAATCATCTCCTGAACATGGAACAAGTTTAGAATATCCATTTCAGCGCTCGTGTACCACTCGGTCCTTCGCGAAGTGAGTAATCGTAACGCGAATGTTCTTGTACTATTGCTCTCAGCTCACCCCCTGTTTATTGATTGGTAATTCTACATATGATAAACCACTTGGAAACTATAAATGAAGTTACACATAACTTGGCAACGATGTTAAGCTTCAGAGTGGGATTGACGCTTGTAAGATGGTGAAGTGCGATAACGCCGCAAAATCCGACGGCGTCTCCAATGTCCATGCGTCGGCTTACGAAACCAGTGATCAAGATCGAGAAACGAACATCAGAGTAATCCGTGACGCTCTTTGATCAAATCTGCAGCCTAAATGCCGTTAGCAAAGATGGCTGTCATATAATCTCTATCGGTATCTTACCTTCTCTGCCCCAGCATATACACTAGCCTGTGGCCCACCACCAGCGACAAGAGGCCACGTGCTCGCATCTACTACGCTAATCCTGCGTGTTCCATAGACTCTGTTTTGCGGGTCGACAACACCACCGTCTTTCCTTGCCATCATAGCGGCCGTACAACATTGATGCGCGTTACTTGGCTCCAATGCTGCTTTGATACTCTCTTTGATGTCGTCCTCGTTTTCAATGCCTGGCGCGGGTGCTGTCTCGATAGGACCAAGGATAGCAAGATCAGGTGTGGCCATAAGTTCCCGGTTTTTCATATAGATGGCATACAATATATCAAGATCGGTCGAATCGGTGATTGCGCCATAGTCAATGAGTGGGGCATCGAGGACATTAGTAGATTTTATCTTGATAGATCCACGGCTAAAAGGACGCGTCATGTAGATACTTGTCTCTGGTCCAGTGTTCCATGACAAGCCACCCACAGCCTCCGTGTTGATGCCCTTGGTTATGATGGCACGCTGTTTCTCGTAACCAGCGAGTATGGATGGGTCGATATCTTTGCCCAGTATATCGGCAGGAGATATTGAAGCCGCTTTAGACATAATTGATACGGAGGCGTTTGTGAAGTTCGAAAGAGGCAGCTGAATGATTAGATTGCCAGTTGTACCAGTAAGGTCGTATGCGCTCGGCTTCCCCGTGTTATAGAGAACGCGTTGCTCCATGGCATATGTAGCGTTAGACTGCAAGGATCCACCGTTTGGAACGTGGTTGGACGTGTCTGGATCGATCAGTACTTCTATCTTCTCAAATTGGTAATTGGCTACGTACAATTGTAATTCACCTTCAGAACTAGATGATCCTGCAGGTTGCGACCGACGCCAGGGAGCTGGGAGATCGGCTCGATACCAAGATTCTTGAGATGAACTGGGTCACCAATCCCAGAGAGTTGTAGTATCTGTGGTGTATGTACGCTTCCAGCAGCTATAATGACTTCTCTGCTTGCTTGGACAGTACCTCTCGTACCATCGGAAGTGCTAATATGATCAACACCTACAGCGGTGAGATTTTCGAAAACGACACGCGATACTGCTGTATTCGGAAGGATGTGATAGTTCGGTCTTACAGCATCCCTGTCGTAGCGGTTGATGCGAGCTGAAGAACGCGTCTGTATTTTAGGATCGATAGAGCGAAGAAGGCGGAATACGCCTTGGGCGCGCCCACCGTTGGGATCCAAAGTCGGCTGGATACCCAAACTTAGTGCTCCATTGTACTTATTGGCTATACCGGCAGTCAGTTTTCAGTAACTAAAGTTGATTAACACCGGCTCACCACTTCCTGGGTAGTCGTACGGAGCATGACTGGCTTGCACCGGGCCGTCAGAGCCATGTATGGCGACGTCCCACGTAATGTTATGACGTCCCGCATATTCTGCATCTGGTGCTGTAAAGGTCTCACTCTGATTCAGGTCAGCGTCATGTTTCGAGACCCAGGAGACCATATACCTTCTTGAAATACGGAAGCAGATCGAACCAACCCCAGCCCGTCGCCCCCAGCTCCTCCCACGCGTTGTAAAGCTCAGCATCCGATCGATGGAAGAACATCGCATTGACTACAGACCCACCACCCACAACTCTACCACATGGCACACCAAATGACGCATTGTTAAGCGCGGTTTGTGGTGTACTCATTAATGGTAGCCAGAGGTACGGTACTGGGAAATATGCGCCAGGGATCATGACGCCGTCCTCTTTCAAGTCGAAAGGGCCATATTCGATGACCAGTACAGTAACTGTTGCTAAAAGTTAACTGAAACATCTTGGAGATTGGGTGTGATCTACCATCTGGATTCTCCGTCAAGCGATCTGCAACGGTAAGCCCTGCAATACCACCGCCGACGATGACAAAATCATAGGTCGTCTCATTGGTGAACTGCCTCGCATCGACGACCTTGGCAGTGCGTCCAAGATGTGAGCGAGCCTGCACGATCATCGCACAACACAAGGCGAGGACAGTCAGTAGCAGCATTTTCAGATGCTGGAAGGTAAGGAAGGATGAACATGTTGGAGGGGAGTAGCAGACAAGTGATCTTATCAAAAATCAACTTAGCCATAAAGTATTGGATGTGCATACATGAAGATCCAGGAGTTACTTCCAAGCGACCTGTAGGCCCTGTTTTCCCACGCAATTATGGCAAGAACGGAATAGATTGCTTGCTGTAATTCATTGGTCGTTGCTACTATGGCGGACCGGGCCCCTGGCTCGCCTGTCCTTGCACATGGAGCGCTAGAGGGGAGAAACGTTGTGAACGGTGTCCATGCATCGTTCTTGCTCGCGAAAGGAGGTGGATATACAGGACATACAAGGCAGGTAGGAGGAGCCAACGGTTGTGAGGGCTGAGCCATGTTGGAGTGTTAGTCTGTGTCTGTGCGACTTCACGTCGTCATAGTTTCCCAGCCCAGTCGCGTCGCGTATCCTTCGACTCGATCGATCACGCGTCAGCCTTATGGAACCCGGTCTAACACTACAGGCGTCCACATGTAGCCATTGCAGAGATCGCAACAGAGTTGTAGACATCTATGCGCGGTTCCGTAATCAGCCGAGCGACACAAACCAAGATTCACGACCATATCTAGGTACTTCCACACAGCCGTCGCAACCATGCCAACAGGAAGCGCAGGCACACATGTCAGGCATCGAACGTCAACGTCGGCCACGCTGCGCTTACAGCGCCCATATTTCCGTAACATGCTGTCATGAAAGCATACATGTACGAGGCAGATTGATGGCCTCGTGGGGCTAGATGCCCAAGGCGCTTAAGACATCACCACAGCGATGACGCACCAGGTAGGAAAAGGACCTACACAGATGCTCACATACATAGTGCGTAACCGCAACCTAGCTTCCAGGCAATTCTACGAGCATTGGAAAGAAATACAGGCGCCGAAAGTAGGTCCTTAAACAGAGCAACATGGTATTGTACAATACCAGGAAGTACGTACTTGCTTCTTAATATCCCTTCATCCATTACCTCGACGCTGACACTTGTGCTTGCAGATCCACACCTCCGGCTCTATGCTCCGCATTCCCTCCACCACCTCGGCGCCGAACGCCACATCTGATTCCTCGCTACTCACCACATCTGTAGAGTTCGATGGCATTGCCACGTTCCTCGCACCAAGTCTAGAACGATTTACGCGTGTATTTACAGATTCATATCATGTTGAAATAGTCAGGCTGGATAAGCAGGTCCTCTTAGATAGAAAAAGGGCTGGGTGGCAGAGTTGTTGCGAGCGTCTCAGAGAAGATCGTCTGTATGGTACAAGAAGGTAAACTGGTGACTTTTACATAACTACATGAATGGGTAGCTGGGCATCATTGGACTGAGTCGCAGTAGAGGTGAGCAAGATACAAAAAGGCACGGACACTCTTCAAGTTCTCAATCTTGCGAGATATTGCTGAGCATATAAGAGCTCTCTCAAAAACGCCATATATCTAAATGCTGAAAACACCCTCGGACCTGCCACCCCATCATCATCGCATCTTAGTCATAAATATCATAAAGAATCTATGTCACACAACGCCAGAAACATCTAATCCAAGCTCTGGATCTGCACCTTGATGCAACCAGTCTTGGGATCCGCAGCGGTCTTGAACGCCTCAACCGCATCCTCCAACTTGAACCTATGAGTGACAAGCTTGCTCAGATCAATGACACCGCTCTTATATAACCGGATGGCCTTGGGCCATGTGTTGCAGTATCGGTACTGGAATTGCAGATCTACCTCCCGGGTGCTCAATCTCATGAAAGGAATCTTCATCTCGTTCTTGCCGACACCGATAACGAAGACCTTGCCGCCAAACTTTACAGTCTGAATACAAGCGTTGATGGAACTTTCAACACCAGTGCACTCCATGGCATGCGAGGGCTCAACACCATCTGTGAGTTTGAGGATGGCATCTTGGAAGTCGGTGGGTGAGTGGCTGAATTCCACTTTGTGGGTAAGAACGCCTGGAACTAGCGATTTGGCAAAGTCAAGACGGCCTTGATCAATGTCGGTTACAACAATGGGAGTCGCGCCTGCTGCTTGGCAGCAGAGAAGAGTTACGAGACCGATCGGACCAGCGCCACAAACGATGACTGGGTCACCAAGGCGGACGTTTGCACGGTCCATTCCTGCGAGGGCCACGGAGAGAGGCTCAAGCATGGCGCCGTCCTCGAAAGTCATGCTGTCGGGGAGCTTGTGGCACCACATTGCTGGATGCTTGAGGTAACGACGCAAAAGACCGGTGACGGGAGGAGTGGAGAGGAACTGTACGCGCTCGCAGCCGTTGTAGCGACCTGTAAGGCACGGCTCGCATTCACCACAGATGATGTTGGGTTCGATGGCTACACGGTCGCCAGGCTTGAGGTTTGTTACTGAGGGGTGGCAGGCCATAACTGTGCCGGCGGATTCGTGACCCAGGACGTGAGTGTCCTCGACTATCATAGGACCAATGCAACCCTGAGAATGTTGTTAGCACATGCCAATGCTCTATCCGCGCCCTGTTTCGAGGCAAAAAAAAAATCAGAACATACAGCATGCCAGAAGTGGATGTCACTACCGCAAATACCGGTGCTCTTGACATTGAGAAGAACCTCTCCTGGCTTCAGGTCTCCACCTCTTTGCACTTCCTCCAAACTCGGTTCCGCCTCCGCGACCCAAAGATCGTGCGCGGGGTTCGTGTAAACACCAATGTTCGCCTTGGTTGAGAACTTGACATCAGTGCCATTCGACTTGCTGACGCCGTTTATCGCTGCTGGCGCAGCCTCAGTGCTTGTGCCGTTCATCTTAGGTTTCTCTTCGATGTTGAGTGCGTTTTTGATCTCCGAGGCCCAGCTGTGGAAGAGGGGAAGAGATGCCATTGAACGAACGAAAGAGAACTATAAAGCAGGGAAGGAAGGAAGGAAGGTCCGATTGAAAACCAAAGGTAAACAAATGGGGGACGTCCAGGTCAATAGATCACCTGGCCTCAAACTTCTTTACCGCGGCCCTTCTTTTCTGCCTGCAGTTATCAATCTAGCTACCGCTGCTACCCAGACTTTACCCTTCCGCTCCTTCACAATTGGTGCGGGGCATTTGTGAATAATACCTCCATTCATTCAAACGTCACCCCCGAAAAGGACCAACCCCACACACCGCCTCCAGAAAACAACTTTCCACGAATGGGAGTGCGTGCAAGTCCGCAACCCAAGCGCAGTACCGGCTTCCGAGTCAGGCAGTTCCGTGCGAAAGCGTAGAAGGGGTCCAGCTGCAGGCTGCGCGTACTAACTGCAACTATACTGCATACGGTAGCGCAGCCTACACCGAACCCCGAGCCTAGGTCACGAAGACAGATTTCACGATGTTGGAGACGTGGTGTTGAGTGGATTAGGCTTGGAAATTGTCGGAGTCTCGGCTCGTGACCGACTACGAACGTGGAAGCTGGTCGGCATTTGACCGATTGAGAGGTCTAGATGCGTCCGTTGGACTGCAACGCAGCGGCGATGGAAGGACTAATATGTCACGTTTGCGCAAGCATATCGTCCGACATTCTTGTTCGCTTTTGCTGAGTCGTGTGTCGCTCGTGGAGAAATCGGACGCGCAACACAGCGTCGCGCAGACTTCGGAACGTTACCTACAGACCTCATCTTCGTTCATCTCAAGGCGTACCTTGTCCATCGATCAGCAAGACGCATAGAGCCACCACAGCCTATAGAGCTAACTGCGCCGTATGCACATCAGACGAGCCGTCCCTGTTCCCATCGACACGCGGTCGTGCTGGAAGGCTGCGCCGCAATTTGTGGCGATGTTAGGACGCGAATCGCGCTATCGATGGCTATATACAGAACAAAACCCATAATCTACATCAACGTGGACACTTTCGAAAAAGTAGTGGTAAAGCATCGACCTTGGACAGCGGAGGTCGCGCGCGCGTACATGAATCGGCTTGAGACAGGCGGCCTTACGCCTTTGCGATTCTTCGTCCTTCATCCTATCGACCCATTGTCGCACCGCTCTATTTTCTGACCTTTTGGGCCTGAGCATTCGTTATTTGCTCGCAAAGATGGACTTGGTACGTGGAGAATTGACGCAATAATTAAGCTGGCTTGATGAGCATGTGTGCATGCTTCGTGTTTCATCATGCGCTGGGTCGGAAGGACCAGATACCGAGGCGAGGCTGTAGGGAGGCGAGGCGAACAGAGGTGTGCATGAGTGCAAGAGGGTTGATTGAAAGATACCAGAGTGGACTGAGAATGGTTCGATGGTTCTCATTGGAATCTGCTGAGACATTCGTAGTAATATTCGTCTCCATATCGTCTCAACATGCATCACGATATCCATTAGGTGTTGTCAGCCCAACATACACATCGAGTTTCATATCAACATCAATTCGAGTACAATAGAGGATTCGAAAATAATTCTTTGTTTGAATCCGCATTTGTGGATAGAGACACATAAAAATGAGTGCATCCGTAGACGGCTACTCTGAAGGCTAATCGTAACATACAACCTCAATACGCCTATCCAATTCTTCGTATCAATACATGTCTTGGTTCGCTTAGAAATGCTCCTTCCAGAACTTGAAGTTGACCTCTTGGCATGCTGCCTGCTTGCATGCCTTCTTAATATCCCTAGCCGCAACGTTGGGACCGCAGAAATAAACACCAACCTCTGTGCGTAGAGTGCTTTCTAATCCGTTCATGTATGTGCGGTCCAGAATACCATCTCGCATACCGCAGAACAGGCGCTGGAAGTCTGGACGTCCAAAGTTGGTGCGGGATTTGAGTTCGGTGAGTGGGTCCTTGTCAGTGCCCACTGAGTTAAGCACGATATTTTGCGCAGTGTTAACATCCATCTTCTGTGTAAGATATGTGTGGATCCGCAGGAATTGGTCTCCATCTGCACCACCGAGAGATTGAGCCTCGAGCGATGAAAGCAAGGTCTGGAACCATTCGAATGACGACGTGTCTTTGCAGACCCAGATGAACTCGACGCGACGGAGACGCTTAGGAGGGTTCGGGCTGAGGCGGAGGTGGTAGATAGATTTGAGGATCGAGGCCCATGGTGTGACACCAATACCGGTACCAATAAGAACTGCGACTTCGTTCTCGAAGACGTCTTCTGCGGGAGCTCCGTAAGGCCCATCGATACGTAGAGCAGGCATCTTTTGGCCGTGCTGAAGAGCGATCTCGTACATGCCCATAGGGTCGAGCTCGTCGTAGAGCTTTGATTGCGATTGACCGGCACCAAGGGCATCGGCGAGAGCGCGGGTAAAGTCACCGACTTGACGTACGTGAACAGAAATATACGGGTCATTGGGGCAGGAAGTGATGGTGAATGGATGCCACTGGTGGTAACTGACATCAGGACAATTCAGGAAGAGCCACTGTCCTGGCTTGTACTTCATGCTGGGCTTCGTGAATTGGATCTCGACAGCATCTGAACATTGTTAGCTGCGTTCTTTTGGGTTTGCTGATTGTGGTGTTTTGCTTACCGTATGGGTGGCGCACAACTTTGACGATTTGTGTCTGGCGTCTGCAACGAATCTCTCGGTACAAACGGTCGAAGAAGTACAGGCCGCCACCAACGAGCTCCCATCGCCAACCCTCGTAACCAATGCAGTGAGTCCAGAAATTGTCGCTATCGAAGGGAGACCAAGCTGGGACAGTATCACGGACGAAACAGCTGGTTGCGTGGGTGTACATGCCGAGTAGGAACGGAATGAACAAGTGATGCGTGTACCAGAACGTCTCGAATGACTGCTGTCGGATCCTGTGGTGCGCTGTAGTATAGATCAGAAGCATACATAATAACATAATGTGCCCTGTGATACCACCAGCCTCGGCGTAGTGGATTTGTAGCGCGATCTGAGGGCGGACCTGCACACGTTCAACATTGAAGAAGCTATGCTTGTCAGTACATGTCGAAAGCCTCGATAAGGTCACTGTCGACTCACTTGACATAATGCGCCGCCACGTGGAGGATAGTGAAGAACAGCATAGCGTAGGCGACTTGTCGGTGGAACCATTGGGACTCGTCAAGTGGCAGCACGCGCACTTTCGGGCGGAGCCACCGGAGGATATTTCTGCACATAGGCATGACGATAACCATTGTGTCAACAGACAGAACAAGACCTGCACCCCGAGATACCCATACTGAGTACTGAAGGGCATTCAGTGGCGCCAAACGTGCATCACCCTGTTGTTTCCACCTGCATTAAGTCAGTAAATAGGATCAACAATACAGGCACAACCTTCCTACCATCCTATACCGAAAAGGGCCCAATGAAATCCCCAGAAGAAGAAATGAAAGGCTATCTTTTGTGGCGTAAAGAGCCTAGCGAACGATGTGCCTCCGCTTGCTCCCATGATGGAGTATCTTTTGCGGTAACCGGTTTATGTTTCGTCCAAAGTCTGCGTTGGGTGTGCCGTTCAACGGTTATTATGAAAAGGATTAAAGAGTATACGCGTGGTATAAGCGAACCTCAACCAGGAAATAAACGATCCAGTCGAAGTTCGACCCGGCCAGCCAGATACGAAGTGAAGAAAAGAATGTCGGTGTCCCGGGACGAGGGGAGTGATGTAGGGAGAGAGCGTGCGGATGTGGAGGACGATCCAAGGCTGCCGGGCACCAAGGGTATTATTATGTCAAGCCTTGGAACAAGCCGAGTCAATGTGCGCAGATCAGGTGGTAAAAGCCGTGGAAACCTGGATAGAGCGGCACGCTGTGCTGAAACCGACAGGCCCTGTTCGGTACGGAAGTGGCTCAAACCGATGCCCCACGAGTCTGCCGTATACGAGGTGCGTTAAGATGGATGACTGAAGAGATGACCAGGAAGAGCAGTGATGCAGAGGAATTCAGGTGGCGCCAAACCTGAATGAGCCTAAGGACTGGATTTGGGGTATTGAAGTTGGTGGAGGGGCTTGCGGCTATGCGCAAGCAGCTAGTGTGTGAAGAGCGTCTCAGACTTGAAGCGCCAGGCACAGAACCATGTTTTCCTTGCAAGGACGGTGGTATGTTCGGAGCCTCAAGATGGACGACTGATCTTGGACAATGCGCAGTTCAGTCTATGCCGGTATGCGGCGAAGCGAAGACCGTTTCGCTAATGGGTTTATTGGGGGTTGGTGTTGGTGAGGCTGCTGGTAAAAACGGAGACAACCCTGGAATGCTGCAACTTGTACGATCTGCAACTGTCAAACCTTAGACTTGGATGCGATCTGACAGATGAGCCTGAGCCGTCGTAGCAAGGTTTCGGACGGTGTTCTTTGAGGGGTACAGATGACAGATGAGCTCAAGAGTTCTGATGGGGTGTACAAGGCGTAGGCGGGGACGTGCTGAAACGATGTACGTTGGAAACCGTGTCCGAGAAGTAGAGAATTCAGGCCGGGTATCTCAATGAATCGCTGAAAGTGGAATTCGCTTCGTAAATATCGTTAGATTAGACTGCAGAGGCTGGTAATATGACTGTGGTAGGCAGTCGGCGGGGACAGTCGTTTGTAGGTACTTGTCTGGGTGGCGGATTTGCTCCTAAACTACCGCCCCTTGCGCAGAAGACGGCACCGAAGACGCGAGAAGAATCATGGTATGAGCCTGCCGTGGCTTTTGCGTTAGAGGCGCCGAGGCTTGAATTCATTGCTGTTGAAGGCACTCTGTGCTTGTGGTTGGTAGCACCAAATCTAACGGGCGAACATTGGCGTGGCGCGTGCAGCCAATGGACGGCTGTCTCGAAGCGCTCGAGTACCCCCACAAAGTTTGAGCCCGCTACTGCGCTGTGCTGGGCTGCAGGTGTACAAGATCTCGCCTCTATTTTGGGACCGACTCCATCGAACACGGCTGGACGAACGGCAACATGCGAATTGCCGGCCTCGTGGATGGCCGATTTTGAGTATCAATTCTCATTAGTCCCACCTTAGGGCCGTGATGTGAGAAGCGGTGTGCAGTGCGAAGAAAGCCGAGAAGAAGTGGTTCTGGGCGATGTGATGAGAGAGCAAATGGTTGCGATGCTGAGTGATGGTAAAGGGCCAGACTGCCTGATTTGTAGGCAAGTATGCTTCTATGATTCCAAGACTCGGTGATGGAATATCGTGGTTCTCCCTATTGGGAAACGGCGTAAACACGTCTGGTAGCAGCACCTTCCTTTTGCTCGACGATGGATCAAAGTACACGTGCAGAAAACAACATCAGGCCATTGTTCTACACACAATCGCACATGGACTCTGATCGACGCCTCGTTAACCACAAGTAATTCTCCGACAGGGCCCTGTGAAAAGCTTCACTGGCACGACGAACTGATACCGAACGAGTATCGTACCACTTTGTTTGTCTCAACGTCTGCCATGGCTGCCAAACCCCACCGTGACGGCATTGAAAGCCACGAGGTGCATCTGAAGTAAACTTTGTCGTATGATGTTGTTTGATGAGCGTGCCTGAGTAACCAGGAGGGTCCTTCGATACCATCTTCCATGCAGATGGCTGATCGTCATGCGCCAGGTTCGCGGTTCGATAACCTGAGGCACAGAACAGAAACCGGGACTCAGGCATCCGTCGGGACGGATTTTTCGAGTACTGCCGTGCCGCACATGGCGATAGCTGTGGAGAACAACCTACTCGATGAGCAGAATTCACGGCACACGTTTGCGCGGCGACACGGACATGGCAGACCGGTTTGCGCAGAGCGCGCTTTTCAAATCATCAACGACCTAATCACCACTACCGAGAGAATGGCGGTATGACCATCGAGTAATGTCCAAGCCGTAGAACAGTCATCAAGTCTTCAACAATGGCAGCTTGCTTTCGCCATTAGCCACGTGAATGCAAAGATTCACACGCCTAGCTCCGCCCACGCTACACTACCTGTGCCAAGCGGGTGAGCATCAGCCGTTCATAGGATAGACTAAAATGGCGGCGCGATCCAGGATGCTGGCACCGTGGCTGCAGAGAGGCTGGCGTCGCATGCAGCATCACAGCAGCCAGCCAATCAAGTGTTGCACACGCACAATCATTGGCGAAGCGGGTCAAGCGGCTGCGAGGGCACCATCTTCGACCCCAGCGCTCGCCGAGCGAGAGCTACAAGGGTTGAGATGCAAGCCCTGGCGCATAAACTGTCTCTACAATTGCGGTCGACATCCGCTGTCGCTCCCGACGTACTGACACACCTCACGTCGCGAAGCTCAACGGCAACACCACGCTGCCTGAACACCTAACACGCCTGATACTCGCCTACGCCTCAGCCATCCATAATACCTGTCCACTATCAACTCCACTCGTACTGCCCGTGCCTGACCACAAAGAAGCCTTGCCGTTTTCGCACTGCCTGGGAACCGCCGCTGCGAACAAGGCATTACTATAACAAAACCCGCCCTGCCACACCCAACCAAAGTCGATGCTCATCTGTCGTTGAGGCTACTGGTAGTCGAAGGGACATTTTCCGTTTACTTTCTTTCTTCACGTTTTTCTATTTTATTTTCCCTTTCCTATACGACCGCGGGCTCGGTTTATTGCTCGTATCCTTTCTTTTTAATCTTCGACAATGGGCAAGTTAATCAAGAACCACTGGGCGCGCCTAGTCATCCTCACGGCTGCTGCGTGTAAGTCATAATCTTAGCATCGGACCCCACTCTCAGCAACAGTACTAATTCTACAACTAGATCAAATAGGAGCTGCACTTGAATGCTTCTTCTGGCCCAAGATCTTCTGGGATTTCCTCACCAAGAACCTCGATGGCGCTGTCAAACCTGTGCCCGTACTACAAATCATCAACATCATCCTCGGCTTCATCGGTCTCGCTTGGGAATGGCCATTACCGCTGCTCGCAGGCACCGGACTACATCGTTCAATCGAAGCCCGCCTGATTATCTACCCACTGAGTGCACTATGTGCCCTTCTGATTTACCAAGGCACCAACTCGGGACTCTACTACATCATCGGCATGGGAGCGTACTTCTGGGCATTTAGCGAGGGCGAGGTATGAACATTTGCCTTTCAGCTGTTCAACGAATTCTCCGGCTAACATCAATACAGGTTGTTTGTCCCGAGCCATGGACTCTACCCAAGCGCGGCTCCACAGCACGCAAGATGACCGCGTAGTTCGGCCACTGTAGCAACAAAGAACCCCTTCGCTTCACACAAACTATACCCTCAAACGCATTTCTCGCATTACCATGTACCATGTCCACGTAGACGACGTACGCCCCATCTCTCTGGCAGACCCTGATTTAGCGATTGTATTTTTTCCCGAACCGCTTACGAGCGGAAGGCGCTCATTCCTAGCGTCAAAGAAGAGCAACATCACCACCTTACGATATCAACCAACCATATCAAACGAACGAAACCCAAATCAAATGAACAAATTAAGAATAACCCAAAGAGAAATTTATGACAACTATGCTTGAAATCTGTTCATCTAACATCCCATACATTCATTCTCTAGGGTCGAAGTTCTACGCGCCATGCTACTAAGAGACCTGAGGCAACCCCTCGTTTGATCCCCATCTCCATCCCCACTTTTTTGCTACTTCGCTCAGCCGTCTTTATGCCTTGGCCTAACGGCCCTCTAACAGCTTGCGCCTCAGGGCCTGGGTTCCTACTAGCCCTCTTTTTGTCTTACCCCGGGAACAGCGAAGCCATAATTTCAATAGCTAGAACAAGCGACATCGCTATCACACTACATGCACTTTTCGTGAGGCTTAAAGTGGATTTGATGATGACATGACCTCAGATTCGTCTAGCGGTCCTACGATATTTCCTTCACAACCTCCCTGCTCTGTACCCCAGCACCAATGCACACCACCGGGTATGATACCCATTGACAAAAGCCTTCATAGAGAAGTCTCTGAACCACTACGACTAAAACATCCAAAAAGAGAAGAGATTTACTGCTCAGCAGGGCCTTCGATCAATATCTTGATGCCCTTGCCACCCTTGACATCTGCAAACGCCTTCTCCGCCTCATCGAACTTGACCTTACCGGTGATGAGTTCCTTGACTGAGATACGTCCGCTAGCCACGAGGTCAATAGCGGTTTGATAGTCGCCTGAGCCGTAACGGAAGGAGCCCTTGACATTGAGTTCCTTGGTGCACATGGCCATGATGGGGAAGTTGATGTCGGGTTTGCCCATGCCACCCTGTTAGTTTTTGATTAGTATCGTTTTATTGAAGATGGACGAGCAGACAGAAACGTACCTGAACATATGTTCCGCCCATGCGTAGCGCGTGGATGGCGGTTTGAATACAGGGCTCAGCACCCGACGCATCGATAATGACATCTGCGCCCGAACCCAAATCACATTCCTTGATCAGATTCTCGGCGTTTTCTTGTGCGCTCACTCTTTGGCTCTTGAAGCTTGCGTTTGCGGCGTACTTGAGTGCAAAGTTGAGGCGTTCGTCGTTGATGTCTACAGTCACAATCTTCTTTGCGCCGTATGCCTTTGCGACAGCGCAGCACAGCAAACCGACGGGACCTGCACCGAATACTACGACCGAGTCTCCGGGCTTGATAGCAGCTTGCCTTGTGATGTGTACAGCGACAGCGGTAGGCTCGATAAGCGCACCCTCCTCCATGCTCATGTTCTCGGGAAGTTTGTAGCAGAAGTCCTCTGGCAGTGTGTAATACCGCGCGAGTGTGCCATCGTATGGGGGTGTGGCAGCAAAGGCCATGTCAGGGCAAAGATTGTATTTTCCATCTTTGCATCGTACGCAACGGCGGCAAGGCACACCGGGCTCCATAGCAACCTCGTCACCAACTTTCAGGCTCTTGACCTTGTCGCCAACTTTGTGTACGACACCAGCTGATTCGTGGCCGAGAACCATGGGCTTCTCAACTACAAAGTGACCGATGCGCCCTTCAACCCAGTAGTGCACATCCGAACCGCAGATACCGGTCCATCGTGGTCTGATGATGACATCGTATGGAGAGGGGAGTTCGGGAATTGGTCGGTCTTCGTAGGTGAGCTTGTCCTTGGCTTGGAGGATGAAAGAAGGGTTCTGAAGATTTGTTAGTTACTGGTGTATATAATCGACGCGTCAAGACCATTTGTTGTGGTGTTTTCAAGGTAAAGCATGTATGGAGGGGTTGATGGTGGGGCATCATGGCTTTACCTTCTGGGTCGCCGTTTGTGTCGCCATCATGAGGTATTGAAAAGATTATAGATTTATTCGCAACAATGTTCCGGGCAACTGTATATGAAGAAAGAAGTGAAAGTCAATTCTCAAAACCCGCGCGCAAGTGAGATGCTAATGACGAAGGAAATGGTGGATCCTGGTAGCTCGCGGCAAGCTATCCCGCCCTGGTTAGGAGTGCCCCTCCACCGAAAGGCGGGAGTCTGGAAGCAGTGAAATTATCCGTCAAAATTATCCGGCGCTTGCATCACTGTTCTTGGAAAGTTCGTGTGGATATCTCGGCATTGCTCCGAGGTCGCTATTGAGCGCCGTGGTTATGCGAATGACCAAACCAAATCGCGGGTCATGCGGTTCGTGGGGGCACCTTGCCATTTTGCCTTAGCTTAACCTCGCCGGTTCTTCTAGGAGGGTAATGTGCGGCAATGTTGATAGCATCTCTCAGCTGGCCCTTGAAATTTGCCTTTTCCAACATGACCACCAGCAAGTCACGAGCGCTTCATCATCTGGATCTTCGCTTGTCTCTGACGGTCCCCAGTCATCCCGTCCCCTCTCCTCTCCCTCTTCCAATATCTCTAAGCCGAGCTCAAGCATCTGGCGACGGAAGTCCTTGATCTCAGGCAAGTAACAGTCTCTGTATGGAAACTCGATGATTACTCTAGCGTCGTTGTCCGGAGAAAGCCAAGCGGCAATGGTATCAACTAACATGCGTGGGTGATCTGGAGAGTATAGTGAATCTGCGGCCAAGATTAAGGGAAATTTTGCAGGAATGGCTAGATTGTCGCCAGTACCGTTGACGTTTGGCAAAGGTTCACAGTGAGTGGGATGTGTCCAGTCAAGCACAGCTGTGCGGACTGCTCCACCATTGAGACTGACAATTTCTCGATTCTGCTGCGCATTGTAGGCCAGGTTCGGGCAAATGCTGGGCAGGTCTGTCAGAACAACGTCTGCGCCAAGGCCGGCCATTGCTAATCCTACTAAACCGGTACCAGACCCAAGCTCCAGGACCTGTAGCCTCTCATGTGTATCTGGCAGCACGAGGTTGAAGCTCTTGAGGCGCTTAGCAAGCATGTATGAAGCAGCCCATGTCTTCAGGCCTAGATCGTCGCCTGTCATAGCAGGCTCGTGAATCTTGAGCTCGAAGGATTCAGAGGCGGTAGGGATTTGGAATGTGCGAGACATGGTGCTCATGGCAGATCGACCGGAGCGCTCGCTCAGTCGGGCGCTGGCCTGATCCCAGATGCGCTCCTTGACCTCATCGTCTTGAATCCATTGTAAACCGCTACCGATGATGGTAGTGAGGTATCGTGTGACGCCCTCTGGGTTGACCTGGACAACAGGCTCACCAGAATCCACTCGATTACCGGCTTCATCACTCGTGCTTGTGTATTCCCATGACCGCGGACCGGTGGTGAGGAGCGCGAGCGTGTCGAGGAGGGCCTCTGCGGAGGGCTTGGTGTAAAGCTGGGGTAGGTCGAGGACTGCATGCGGATTTAGCACCAAGACAGGTTGATGCAAGGCGCAGGTGTATACCGTCTAGCATGGCCATGTTGGACCGACTATGGCGAAGGCGCGGGAAAATTGTTGGTAGGCGGGGCGGCGGTACTCACCAAGGTCCAACGTGGGCCCGAGCTAGCCATGGCGGGGCTAAAGTCAAGGCACCACGAGCAGCGCATACACGAGAATACAAAGAGACATGTTGCCAATCCTCTAAGCCTTCTTCAGGGTTGTCTTGAAGCCATAGTAGGCCGAGTCCATGTCAAATTGGAACTCGCGCGCCTGCTCGTCGCTCAACTTCTCGGCCGCCCGCATCTGGTTCAGGGTAATCAACCACTGCACAATCTTGCCTTTGCTCTCGAAATCGACGTCCGTGACCTTGTTGACAGCTTGTATGATCTCGACAAGCAGAGGATGCAATGTGTCCTTCTCTACCAGCCCAATCTTGATGGCATCGAGCAGAGTGATGAAAGTCTCGGTCGCGTTGACGACGAGCGTCGCATCAGCAAAGTCGCCTCCCTGAGTTGGTCTCGATGGACCTTGTTCGATAGTCGCGGGTATGCCAACGCGTAGTCGCTCGATGGCTCGGGGACATTCCATCTGCAGCCGTATCAGCATAGTGCAGAGGGAAGCAGCTCAACGTGCCATTACGTACCTGCCACTCTTTCGCAAACTGGTCCAGAGTGCCAAATGCTTGCGCGACCGTCTCATTGGCAAGATTGGACTTGTACTGCTTCATCAACCGGTTGCATGTCTCGGTGTAGTCGGCTTCGGCGATGGAGTCCTTCAGGTAGGCCTTCTCTATGGCATCGAGCGTGATGATGATGCTGTAGATCTCGGCCAGCGAGTCGTTCAAGTCGCGCTCTGCATTGGTTGCAGACAGTTTGACTTCCTAGAGCCACGGTGAGCATGCGCATCGGGCGTGGGCTGGGCGCGTCATACCTCATCAAGGTTGATGGTCGCGGAGAGGTTGGAGCGCGGGATGTAAGGCGTCGGCGCGTAGGCCAGCTGCCTGCCGCCGTAAGACATTCTGGATGGCTGGAACAAGGCAGTCTGTGGACGAGGGCAGCAAGCTCCAGTTGCGTGTCCGTTGATGCGTCGGCGGCGCCAGCTCAATCAAGCATGCATCCATCCACCGCGTGGGGAAGGCGCTAGTGATTGCAGGGTCCTTAGCGCTGGAACTTTTTCGAGGCCCAAGTTTTTCAACCACCAGCTGCACGCTCCGTCAACACCACTCGCCCGACTACCACGAGACGCCAGAGCCCGCCGAGATGCCCGTGTCCAAGGCGACCAAGAAGTTCCAAAAGGACAAGCTCGGCGACGTCATCAAGCGCCGCAAGGATGTCGCCAAAGTCAAGCAGAGGAAGCAGATGGACGCCAAGAAGAGGGAGCGCAAGGCCAGAGACAACGAAAAGGCCGCCGACCTAGAAGAAGAAGCTGCAAAGAAGCCAAAGACGAATGGCGCCAAAGACGACAAGCTGGGCGAGATGTCCATGGACCAATTCTTCCAGGGCGGCTTCCAGATTCCCGAGATGAAGAAGAAGTCGACCAAGCCAAAGACGGGCAAGCGCAAACGCACACCAGTCGACGAGGATGCCGACCAAGCCTCAGACGAAGACATGCAAGATGCGCCCAGCGGCGCTGACGAGTCTGGCTCCGACAGCGACTCAGGTGACGATGTCGACACACACAAGGAGCAGCTTGCTGGTTTGGCAGAGAAGGACCCCGAGTTCTACAAGTACCTCAAGGAGAACGACGCGGAACTCTTGGACTTTGCCGAAGACGCCGACCTTGCAGAGATTGACGCTCTGTCCGCTAGTGAAGACGAGGCCACTCCGAGAAAGAAGCAGAAAGCCGCTGTTGAAGACGACGACGACGACGACGAAGATTCGGGCAATGAGCTCAACCTGAAGACGGTCCAAAAATGGAAAGCCTCCATGGAATCAAAACATTCCCTGCGCGCCATGAAAGAGGTGGTTCTGGCCTTCCGCGCTGCATCACACATGAACGACTCGGAGAGCTCCAAAACATACAAGTACTCCATAACTGACCCAGATGGTATGCAGCTCACTTTCTATATATGACACGAGGCTGACAGCACACAGTCTACCACCAAGTGCAGGTAACAACTCTCCACTTAGTACCCAAGGTACTCCAACATCACTTGCCTGTCAAGGAGAGCGCTGGTGGCAGGATGTAAGTAACCCACAGCAATTCTTCCGTATGGCCACTAACAACCACAGTCGCGTTCCTACCGACTCAAAGAAGTTCCGCACCCTCACGCCTCTCCTCAAGTCGCATACCGTCTCGATACATCACCTCCTTGAGAACCTGTCCGATTCCAAGACCCTACAGATGACACTAGACTCGCTCTCCAACATGCTCCCATACATTCTATCCTTCAAGAAGGTTGTACGTGAGGTTATTCGGTCTGTCGCGTCGGTCTGGTCCGACAGCGCCAACAATGACGGAACAAGAGTGTCGGCTTTCTTGGTACTGCGAAGACTCGTCGTCATCGCAGACCCAAGTATTCGCGAGGCTGTCTTGAAGCAGGTTTACCAAGGCCTTGTCAAGAGTGCAAGGAATACCACAATCCACAACATCCAGGGTATCAACCTGATGAAGAACACCGCGGCTGAGCTTTGGGGCATCGATCCTACCGTCGGCTACACCACCGGCTTTGGCTTCATCCGCCAACTCGCGATACATCTGCGCACAAGCATCACCAACAAGACAAAGGACTCGTACAAGACCGTATACAACTGGCAGTACATTCACTCGCTAGACTTCTGGTCACGAGTCATCTCAATGCATTGCGAGTCGCTCAGGGAAGCAGAGGCTGGAAAGCCATCACCTTTACGACCCCTCATATATCCCGTTGTTCAGGTCACGCTAGGTGCCATGCGCCTTATTCCGACGTCGCAGTACTTCCCTCTCCGTTTCCAGCTCATCCGATCGCTCCTTCGTATCGCCCAAGCGACATCGACCTACATACCCTTGGCGCCTGCCCTTGTCGAAGTCCTCAACTCCGCAGAGATGAAGAAGCCCCCAAAGCCCAGCACGCTGAAAGCTCTCGACTTCAGCATCAGTATCCGCGCATCAAAAGCCTTCCTCCGAACACGCATTTACCAAGACGGCATCGGTGAGCAGGTCGCCGAGCTTCTGGCCGAATTCTTCATCCTCTGGACCAAGAACATTGCTTTCCCTGAACTCGCACTTCCCGTCATTGTTATGCTCAAGCGATGGGTGAAGGCGATCACCAAGAAGAGCAGCGGAAACAAGAACACCAAGGTATCCTCGCTTATCGCACTCCTTGTCCAGAAGCTAGAAGCAAACTCTCGATGGGTTGAAGAGAAGCGCAACAAGGTCGAGTTTGCGCCCAACAACCGCGCAGGTGTGGAAAGCTTTTTGAAGGATGTAGAATGGGACAAGAGCCCACTAGGTGCATTTGTGGCAGGACAAAGGAAGAGCAGAGAGCAGAAGCAAAAGTTGCTCGAGGAAGCAAGGAAAACGGAGGACAGGAAGAGGAAGGAATCTGAAAAGCACGAGAAGAGTAACGGTGAGGTATTTGCCGCGGAAGATGATGATGAAGATGAGGAGGAGGAGGTTGATCTCGATGGCCTAAGCGACGAAGACCTCGAGATGGATGATGACGACGAAGAGGAGAGTGACGACGAGTAGATGGTTTTGTTTATTTAATCGAATACTGTATCGGATGTTTGGTGTTGGGTATCGCAAATTTGTCGGTATAGATACACCATATGCGATAGCATCACTGCAATAGAGCGCAGAGGTTTTCCCAAACAACTCTTCCGTTTTTGGTCATTATGTGACTAACGCGACGGCAAGCAACGTGATCCAGATGATATCAGTAAAAGGATCCATCTTAGCAGATTCCTTACGAGGTGGCTGAAGTTCCTATCTATAGACGCCCAAGAAGAAACTTGTTTTCTTTTAATGAGGTGTACCTAGAAATATATCACGAACAGTCTATTCTAGAAGTATACGTTTTTTCTTGTTGAGGCGGTAATGAAGATGTTTGTATATACTATTAGGGTTCCAATTCTGATAAGAGAGCACAATTGAGAATGAATGAGCTACTTCATAGATTAGCAACAAAACATGTGTGCTGTCGACTAGAATATCCTCTCGCTTTTAGAAAGTGGATAATTGGTATTTTGAGTAGGAAACGGCACAACCAACAAAAGAAGGAGACAAAAGAGACACCACACCCACCAAACCTACAACCTTGCCGGTCCAATCCAGACCAAATGTGACAGTAGGGAGACGGTGAATACCACTCGAGACAAGTCAAATTACGCCCTCACCGTGACCGATTTACCTTCTCATAAGCAAACATGTTATCCATCTACTCTGATAGTCCTATCACACTATCACACCCTATCCTTCAGTCTCTCATACTCCTTGACCTCGTAGAAACTCGGTCGCTTTGCCTTCCCTTCGAACCGGATTGGATCCTGACCTTCACACCTCTCTAGCCGAAACTTATACATCGCCGTTTCCTGATCAGTCTTTGTATAACTCGTCACCCGATACAGACCATCATACCTCAAGCCTAGCTCGGGCCGGTACTTGTTCTTCTTGTTGAGCTGCGCAGAGCGAACAACTCTGATCTGGTTACCCAGATCAGCGGATTTGAGGAGATGGATAGTGTTCTCTGTAGGCGTGGAATTCTTGCCTGGTGTGCCGGAGTAATCGATGACGTCGCCGTTGTCGACGTCCTGATATCCATTGCCGCCTGAGAGGACAATGGAGTAGGCACCGCGCTCCTTTTCACCGTAGATACCGCCTTGGGCTGAGCCATGAGCCCCATCACGGACAGTACAGAGCTGAGTTGGCCACCACTGCCCTTGGACGAGGTCGCCATTCCCGTAGTGTTTCGCATCGATGGAGAATCGTTTACGGTAGGTTTCGTCGAGGCGGTCACTCGTGCGGTTTCCAGTTTTGTTAGATACGATACCGCGGAGAATATCTTGGTTCAGGTCGTTCTTCCACCAGCGGTTGTACAATTGATATGCATCTGCTTTCAAATCCCATGGAAAATCTGTTCCCGCTCTGAAGATGCGAGGAAGTCCGTATTCAGGGCTCAGCATGTTAGCCTTCCTGACGAGGAAGCGATTGACCTCAAGTCGTATTTCAGCCTTGTGTACATGGTCGCGAAGAGCATCATATAGCTTGTCAAGCTGAATAGCGGAATTCGTGTCTTCGCATTGTCTTATACAAGTTTTGAGGGCTTCTAGTGAAGTGAGCTCTGGGGGTCGCTTCTTGCTCATCGCCTCCATCATATGACCCTTCATGGAGATAGATGTATACCATTCTGGCAGCGGTGCTCGTACGGCATATCTGTCTGTATTGCTTTCCGAAACAGGTAAGGCGTTTGATGGTATGGTGTTCGTGGTATCTGGCTTGTTTGCTGCTACTATAGCCGTTGTTGCTTGTGCAGCCGTCCGGTCCGGTGATGTGCCTGTAGTCGACGCTTCGGCAAAAACTGTGCTGGCTGGCTTCTCTTTGAGAGTATCCTTTGGTCTTCTCAGTTCCTCAACCTTATCCGCTCGCTCCTCCACGTTTTGCATGGATTTTTTGTACGCATCGTCTTTCTTCTGCTGTGCGTCTCGACATTTCGCTTGCTTCTCTGCATCTGCCTTCGCCTTTTTAGAGATGTCTTCTTGCGATGACTGCGTCTTCTGAACCCTTGGCTTTTTAGCGCGAGGATCCTCTGGTATATGGGCTTGGGTTGAGGCTTTACGCTTGATGCCATTCTGTGCTGGTATGATGGCTTTTGGCTGCACCACGAAATCATCTGACGTAGATGGTTGTTGCTCCACATTCTTGAATGGATTCAAGTCATACTTCGCTCGGAGTTCGTTCATCTTCTTGCCTAGCAAGCGCATGCTGTTCTGATGCTCTTCGCTGTTCGCTTCAGCATGTGCTCTCGTCTTTTGTATGATCCTCGACCACGCGTCTGGCCCTACAACGGACGCCTTTTCAGCATTTTGAGCTTTCTCCAACAGCCATGCTGGTGGTTCTGCTATATTCTGACTTTCTGGGGGTGGCATGTTGAGTGTGGTTGGTGTCTTTTGAGTTGTAGTGGTCCTGTTTGTTTACAATGTTAGGCGCCGAAGTGCGTTTGTTACGTAGTCCGCTTGCGCTGGTAATAGGCTGCTAATGGCGAAGTGCGGGGTAGATGAGAAGAGCAACGATTGTAAATATCTGAAGCCCCTCATAGGTGATACAGAATGTAATAGACCTTGGTCGTGGTTGTCTTACAACTGCATAAGGGCAGGTAATGTTAGGGATTTTGCTAGACCTAACTTGAACCTAGGATTTATGGTAGGAAACGTTGAAACAGTTGCTGTTGTCAACAATTCAGATTGTGTTTAAGAGTTCGGGATGACTGTTGACTAGATTGAAGCCGAAGCGATAATGAAGTTTGTGGGACATTTGTTGAGCGCAATCGTTCCCCAGGTCGCGATGACAAGTGTCGCGCTAGCCTTGTATCCCTGAATTGTGATTGGCTTACATGTTCAGGACGTGTTTTACGCTAAAATCACTGATTGGGCAGTCCGCAAGGATGGAGCTGCACCTTTAGGTCTGCTAAAGGCACACGATTTGCAGAGCAACGTTGTTCAGTTTTGTGCTTTAGTGAATTATAGGAGTGTAAGAGCTTTATATGTGTTTCGCTGGAGTTTACCCGGTCACCGAGGTACCGTGGTAGTCGTCGTGGTACCGTGGTCAAATTGGGCGCACTATATACATGTTGGAATCATCATATTGCGTGTAAAATGATCTCAAAAACCGATACGTATGATGGATCGTCAGTGCAGGCAGTATTATCGTAGTCCGCGCAGGAAAAGAGCCGAACTGGGACAGAACCAAAGCAAGACATGGAAGCCTAGGAGGGCAGCCATGTAACACATGATAGCAATGCTCATATCCTACTAACATGCAGACGGAAGGAAGGCTTTCAATCCCAATAAGTGTAGCCTTACCAGTTGAACTGTACAGCGCCTGGGCAAGCTCACATACAACTGCCTGGGGAATGCCTAGGTAATATCGACCAGACGATACACTTCGAAGACGTTACAGGTGATGCTTTCTGATAAGATATCTAGAGTGTGTCTAAGATACGAAGAGGGCAGCGGCATATTAAACGGACTGGTGTACTCAGCATATCGATATATTCCAAAAAAAAAAAAAAAAAAAAACCACGATATGCTATAATTTGTGTAAAAACTGAACTGGGAGCAGTCGACCACATTTTGAGCTGTTTGAACTAAACAACATCGCTTACCATTTCATCTCTATATGCTTGGGTATGTCTATCAACATAACAAGAAGGAAAAAAACGCTATGCGAAACGCCACACCGAAATGCATCCACCAGAGAACACTTATTTTTCATTACCCTCAACGACCTGTCCTAGTACCTCGCCCTCAACCATAGCCTCTCCTGGTCCCTTACCATCACTACCGACCTTCTCCATTGGTGTACCCACCAGACTCTTACCCTCAACCCTGTCAGCGCCAGAAAGGTCGAGATCTCTCTTCATGTCCGCACTTAGGTTGACCCATCCACGAACACTGTCTTTCGCTCGGCTGAGAATAGCGGTGTCTTGTGTTAGGCTCTTGTTCTTGGCCATAGTTTCGTCGAGCTCTAGATCGCGCGCGCTTGTGTTTGCGACACGTATGCCATTTTCACGCATGACTTGCAAGATGGCACGGGTATTGAGTCTGAGCACCCTCTCAGGCTCCTTGGCGCCGAACACTTTTGTTGTTACCCAGGGGAACAAGACGCCGAAATCGCTTTGAGAGAGATGGGCAGAAGCAATTGGATAGAAGATGTGTGGACCACGCTGCTCGGGGAATCTCGATTGTGAGGAAGCAGGCTTAGCGACGATGCGCTTCGTTTCTCTGAAGTTCGAGGCCCAATTGAAGAAGCCCTCGGAAGCGATGGCAAGAAGATTATTGCCGCCGGTAGGAGAGTCATAGCATGGCATTGTCTGGCTTCGTAGCCAAGCAGTATCAGGACTTTGGATGGGTAGGGTCCAGAGATCTAGAAGAGTGACTGGGTTTCGTGGCGTGATCTGGCGAACTAAACTCGAGTCCGCGGATGGCGTGTATAGCGGCTTGTAGCGTGGAATATGTGTCTGAGGGCGGTGGTAAACTGATTTGACGAACTGAATCATTGTGCAAGCACCGAAAGAGTGGCCTGAGAAACTGATCGCACCCGGCTCGTGAACGTTGAGCAGGTTCGAGAACATGCTCAGCATGCTCTTACCATTGGGTAGGTCTTGTGCTACGTTCTTCAATTGACGGCCCTCATCGATCTTCAACACTGCATCGTGTACCATGCCTAATTCCCATAGCCGTATTCGCAACTGCTCGTCTCTTGCCTCGTATGTTTCTGTACTCGGCTTGTGGGCGATTGACCTGTATTCTACACGCTTCTTCTTCTCCTTTCCTTCTGGAGTATGATGGATTGCGAGAGGTGAACTGCCATCACGATGGTCTGCCGCAACGACTACGACTCCATGGCTTGCAAGCGAGCCGCAGATGTGCGAGTATGCATTCCTTGTTCCACCTAGACCATGCGAGAACATCATGACAGGCCATCGTTCGGATTTCGGTGGAGGTGCGAGGAGTTCGGCGTTTTGGTGTACAGGCATGGAAATATAGTACAACAACTGGGGTAGTGCTCTACAAAATTGTCAGCGACATGTTCAGCTAGCGACTTGTCTCAATTTGCTCACGAGAATACTCCAGCAAAGGCGCTGTTCGCACCCAAAAACCTCGCATAAGCACTAACATATTCCCTCTGTGGACTTGGGATCCATCTCACAGCCTTCTCATTACTGTCCTGCTTACACGGATAGAAGATGCGGAAGGCTATAGTTGGCAGGTCTCCAGGAGGCGCATTCACACTCGGGCTCTCTAGGTCGCTTGTGGGTATTTCTACATCTACAGAACCGACTTTGTATGGCCCCGTATGCGCTGGGAAGGCCGGTGTTGGGTTCAGTCGATTAAGCCAGGTCATATTCGCGGTCGTAAGCGGGCTTGCTGTCGCGGTCGGGAGGCGCGAGGGCAGGCCGCGTGTGAGAGATCTAATAGTCCGTAAGAACGACAGTGTGATTGAGGAAACTTCAACAAATGATGGGTCGATGGTGGATATGCAGAATAAATGGACGGTCAGAATGAAATGCCGCAGTAATGCTATGAAAGTGTGCAACAGAATGGGAATGGAGACTGGATGGGAAAGCGGCCACACTCGCGCATATATCGATCATGGAAGACATGCCAGTGACGCAAATGCCCATGCTAACACGCAGCGCTACTGCCAGGGACATCCTCGGAAGCACGCGACCTCCGAAGTTGGCCAGTGAGATCCATGCTGTGGCAAAGCAGGTGGAAAGCCGAGGTTTCGGACGCGTTCCGGCGGGTACAGAGTTTTCTCTATCGTCTTCAAGCATTTCCGCGCGTTCAAGATTTGTCCCGAGTGTTGCGAACTTGTAGTTCGTCGTACTGCTGGCTTTTTGCCCGATGCGAACAGCGTTGCTCCAATGGTGAGAGTGGTGATGGCGTGCACGCATGAATCTCTCGCCAAAATGACGACACTTCCAACGTCACGATCGCTACAAGATCGCGCTAAGCCTCAAGCCGCCGCGTCCCGACATCGTGGGCTACATGTGATCGACAAGTTCCCGAGTAGCGTGCAATCAAGAGGTATAGTAAACTGGGCGCGATCCAGCATATCGCATAATGTCAAAGTGGCTCGTAGATCTGAGCAAGAAGACGTGTAACCTGCAACAGACCTACCGGGATCTAATGTGGATAACAAAGGTGAACATCTTGTATTCCACATTACATCGTCAATCGATCTATGAACGCACATATAAACACCTGGGGTATGCTGCATGTATAAACCAGAAGCCAAGTGATGCCGTGTTGCAGGAAGGCCTGCATCCCACTTCCCAATATGCTAGCAACATCCTCCTCTCCTCCTACTACCCCCACCAAGCCTGAACACGTCTTCCCATTCGCCCAACCCACCAGTTTTCTTCCCTCGTCTTCGATACCTGACGCCGTCATCTCCAAACCCACTCTTGATACTTCCACCACCGTCATCCCAACCCAAGTCACCATACTGTATACCACTCGCAGGATCATCAGGATCAATCTCGCCGAGCTCAATTTTAGTCAAGATCATTCGCGCTAATCGGTTGAATAGCTCCTCCACGTTCTCTCCATTCAGCGCGGAAACTTCCACTGCTACCGGTATGCCATTCTGCCCCGCCCATCTCGATGCGACTTCAGCTGGAACTTCGCGGCCATCGGGCGCAACGGTATAACTCGCATGTAGATTTGCATTTAGACTCGGTGTCCGACTCGATTGTGATGATGGTGTGGGTGGTGGGAGTCCGCTTTCTGAACCGGGTGTACTACCATAACTGCTGTATCCCCCACTCATGCCTATGGGCACACCATCTTCAACGTCGTTCTTGTTGCCGGCAAGTATGATTGTTATGTCCGGTCCAGCCAGCGCTCGCGCATCATCTAGAAACGTCTTCAATTGCTCGAAGCTCCGCCAGCTGCTCACATCGTACACCAGGATCGCGCCAGCAGCGCCGCGGTAGTAGGATCGTGAGACGGAGCGGAAGCGTTCTGTGCCGGCGGTATCCCAGAGCTGAAGTTTTATTCGTTTTCGCGAGGCCGAAGAAGAGGGCGAGCGACGGCGGTCGGCGATATGGACGATTTTAGAAGAGAATTCTACCCCGATCGTTTGGCTGGATAGTACGCGCCCTGGGGGTTGTTAGTGGGGGCTGGAGGCGGCGGAGGAGGGAAAGTCGCGTACATTCAGACTTCACGAAGCGGTGGAGGAGGCAAGATCTATGAGGCTTGGTTATTCGGCATGCATCGTTGGTGCTACTCTTATCGTGAACTTACTTGCCAGCTCCGCTGGGACCCAGCAGTACAACCTTTGCTAAGTAATCATACATGCTCCCCAGCTCCTGTGTCTGCTCAGCAATGCTCTCCCAAGCTCAAATCATGTCCATACCTACTTGTAACGGCGGCTCGCTGCTCCGCGTCGAAGCATTCGACACGGCTCGATTCCTCCCCATATTGACAGGCCTGTTTGCGTTTCTGTGGGCGAATGTGGAGGTTTATTCGGCACTATTCACGGTCGCAAGTGTCTTCCGGGCAGTCCTTGGTAGCGAATAGGGCAAATAAGGCTTCTAGTGGGAATCGATGCGGTGTTGTGTTGTTCAACTTGGCTTATCTTTGTGACGCCAATTGGTGGACCCTGGCCGCCGCGCTTCGCGACATCGTCACGCGCACGGCAGCCATCCTTCATTTAACTCCATCAGGCAAAGACTTTGACTATCACATCACGATCCTCTAGTAGATCTGTCATCTTGACGATTAATCCCGTTAGAGTGAAATATTTCATCTTCACATGATGGTAATAGTATGTTATTGCGAATCAGATTGGATTCGTAGACAAGTCTGGAATAACAATATCAGGAGTTAGAAGCTATGTACAGAGACTCCCAAAAAGGAAACAGGGAAAGATGACGACAAGATACTGATAACTAAGGAAAAGACCAAGAAGAGGTGGTATCCTAAACGCTTCACCAATAATGATAACAACAACAACAATAACATCCACCCCACTGACTTGTCTCAGAATAACGCGATTGCTAGCCCCATGACTACTGATCTCCCATATCCCTCAACGGCATGTAGCTGGTCTCCTCCTTATTCCTCTTCCTCGCAGCCCACGCATCACTGATCCAGTCCTTGAGGGTAGAGAACACGCCAATCTTACTCTGCTTCTCCATTTCCGCTTCCTTTTCATCGATTGGCGCACCGGGATCGAGTACACTGACCTTCATCCAGCTAGGTCTACTCCAGAACTTGAGATGTAGAGAGCTGAGGACGACACTGACAGATGAGCATGCCATCGCCGCACCAGCAGCCATTGGGTGGAGTGAAAGGCCCCAGGGCAGGAAGAAGCCCATTGCGAAGGGAAGACCAATGAAGTTGTACATGCACGCCCACGCCAGGTTCAGCTTGATGCGGAAGAAGATATCACGGCTGAGCACTAGGGAAGCCGGAATGGCAAGAAGATCCGTGTTGGTCATAAGAACAATAGACGCAGCTTCCATAGCGACGTCCGTACCAGTAGAGAGGGCAATGCCAATGTCGGCAGAAGCGAGCGCAGGGGAATCGTTGATACCGTCCCCAACCATGCCGATCACTTTACCGCGAGACTGGAGGTCTTCGACGATAGCTTTCTTGTCTGCGGGTGTGGACGAAGCATGGACGTCTGAAGCGTCAATGCCAACCGCCGCTGCGACAACAAGGGCGGAAGCGGATGTATCACCGGTAACAATGGAAGATGATATACCCAGACGTGATAGCGCAAGAACTGCAGCGCGAGCCGAAGGCTTGATAGTGTCAGACAAGCTCAACGTGCCAGTGTAGGTGTTACCAATAGCGGTATGAATCGTGGTGATGCCAGCAGAGCGGTTCTGAGACCCGCCTCGAGGATTGGCATTCGCAGCAGGTGTAAGAGGTTCTTCAACAAAGTCCGGGACATTGACACCCTTGGAGGTGAGGAAGGCTGTGTTACCAATAAGGACCGTGTAGCGGGTGCGCTCGCGAGAGATGGCTGCTTCGACCGTCGCGGTAATGCCTTTACCGACGACAGCTTCAAAGTCTCCAACAGAGCCGTCTAAGCTACCGTCAGGTCCCAGACGGAGATGCTCCTTCGCAGAGAGAACGATGGCTTTGGCGATGGGATGCTCAGAGCCCATTTCCGCAAGTCCAATGAGCGTCCACCAGAGGTTCTTCTTTTCCGTGCTTTCCCAGCCTCCTTGTATATCGGCTTGAGATACGCTCATCTTGCCCACAGTAAGCGTGCCGGTCTTGTCAAAGATGACATGGTTGATTTTGGTGGCAGTCTCGAGAGCAGCACCACCCTTAACGAGGATACCTTGCTCAGCTCCAACACCAGTACCAACCATGACAGCGGTAGGTGTCGCAAGACCCAGGGCACATGGACAGGCGAAGACGATGACAGCGATGCAGAGTTTGATGCAAACCATAAACTTTCCGCCACTAGCGTGATCGAGGAAGACTTTAGGCGGGTAGGGTAGGACGTGGCTGAGTACCATCCATCCAACGAAAGTTGCGAGACCGAGAGTGATAATGATAGGGACGAAGTAACCAGCAACGGTGTCTGCAAGGCGTTGGATCGGGGCGCGGCTTGTCTGCGCTTCCTGGACAAGGCGCACAATCTGACTGAGCTGAGTATCACGGCCGGCTCGAGTAACAAGAAATTCCAGACGTCCGTTTCCGTTCACAGTACCGGCCATAACTAATGCGCCCTTCTTCTTGAGGATGGGCATAGCTTCACCTGTAACCATGCTCTCATCAAGGTACGATTCTCCACGTGTTACTGTGCCATCAGCGGGAAGCTTGTCTCCTGGGTGAAGTATGACCACGTCACCAACTTCGATGAGCTCGGTAGCAATGACCCTCTCTTCAACAGCATTGCCATCAGTTGACTTGCGCTCCATCTTTTCTTCCTTGACGTCCCAGTCCTCAGCAGCTTTCGCAGCAGCGATAGGATCCGCGTAGATAGTGGTCATGGATGGGGCCAGGGACATGAGGTTAGAAAGCGCCTTGGAAGTTTGACCCTTCGCCTTGTTCTCGAGGTAACGGCCCAAGCTGATAAACGTGATCAGCATAGTACTGGTGTCAAAGAGTGTTGTCGGCTTGGTATGTGGGGAAATCAAGAGCGATACCAGCATCGAAAAGATACTGAAAAAGAAGGCGGACGAGGTACCAAGCACGACAAGAACGTCCATCGTGGGAGAACCATGGCTTAGCGATTTGTATGCAGACACATAGAAGCGCTTTCCGATGCCGAACTGAACTGGGATCGTGAGGACCAGACATATCACGTCGCCAAGATATAAACCGGGAATGAGGCGTATACCACCGTAGTTGATGAATGGCAGGAACATGGGGATGAACATGCTTGTCAAGAACACGGGAACTGCAAACCAGGCGGAGAATACCACAGCTCTTCTCCATTCCTGGATTTCTTTTGTCTTTGCCAGAGACTCCAGTTGGGCATCATTGTCTTCAGAGTCCGCGACAAGCGCGTTGTATCCAGCTGCTTCTACAGCCTCCACGATGGCTCGCAGACCAATGATTTGAGGCTCACGTTGAATAGTGGCCCTTGAAGTTCCGAAGTTGATGGTTGCGGAGGTAATTCCAGATCGTTTTCGCAACAATCCTTCGAGTTCTTGAGCAGCGCTAGAGTTGGGCATTCCATAGATCTTGAGTTGTACAGGTACGTTGGCTGCTGATGACTGCTGTATACTACTGTCGACGGACGACAAGACATTGGCGTCGAATCCTCGGTCCTCGATGATCTCTACCAACTGCTCCTCGGTGAGCTTGGAGGGATCGTGGACGATCACGGCACGATTGGCGAGCAAACTAATGTTGAACTGGTATACACCCTCAACGTCCTTGAACCCGCTCTCAATGGCTGATGTGCATGCGCCACATGTCATGCCCTCAACAGCGACAGTCGTCGTCATTGTTTTCTGCTGTTTCCGACCCTTGCTCTTCCTCGGTGCTGGTGTCGCGGCCACGGTATCCAGCACCTGCGCGTCAAAGCCAACATCTTCTATCGTTTCGGCCAGCTTCTCCGGGGTTATAATTGTAGTGTCGTGTTCGATGACAGCGCGCTCGGAGAGAAGTGATATGCTGAAAGACTTGAGTCCAGCTACGTCCTTGAAAGCGCCTTCCACGGCGGATGTACACGCTCCGCATGTCATTCCACCAACCGAGAGTGTGGTGGTGGAAATGTTTCCATTCATTTCCTCCTCTTCATCTTCGGAGTCGCTCAGGAAATGATCATCTGCACTATGCGACATTGGTAGATCCGACGAGAGCACTTCTGCATCGAACCCCCTGTCATCGATGATCTCCCTGACTTCTTCCGCGGTGATGACCTCGGGATCGTGCTGGATAACAGCACGCTCCATCACTAAGCTTATCGACACATTCCCTACTCCCTTGACGCCCTGGAAACCCGACTCGATGGCAGAAGTGCATGCGCCGCATGTCATACCTTCAACCTTGAGCGTTGTTGTAGCCATGTGCGCGGTCGCTGTCGCCGGAGGAGCCATATTGGCTAGGGTGTCTTTTCGGTGCTGTCAACTTCGGACGGTGTTGCGAACTGGAAACTGCGATGCTGGACCAGGTGCAGCATTCGACGGGTCAAATTGGGGGCGAAGGCGGGTCGTACGAGGCGGAAGGATCGGAGCGAAAGCGATGGAATGACTGCGGCGGTACTGCGACAGCGCGAGGTTGCAGACGCGAAAGGACAGCGGACTCGCGAACAAAAAGGAAGGCCAGCTTCCGGTAGTGCCAGATGGCGAAGTTATTAATATGGCGATTGATGAACGGAGTGCAGCAGCCACAATCTGTCCCAGTGCTGATTAAAGCCCAGCGCCGCGGCTTGTCGAAAGGAGGCTAGAGCGGGCCCGAAGGATGATGATAGGCCGTGATTGCGAGAGGGCCGCCACGAGCTGAAGGTCAAGCTGTCAGAGTATAAGCGCGGTGCAATGCAGGGCACACTCAATATCCGCAGGCTGACAGGCAAAAGATTAAGACTATTTTCGAAATCTAGGATCTGGGGCTGTCTTTGCTGCGACACGGCCATAAGACGACAGTGTTTCCTTCTTGGCATGTGAAACAGGAAGGAACGTAAAACCCTTGCTTGATGCTCAGGTGAGACACGCGCAGCCTCAGGTTCTGGATCGATTTAACCGAACGAAACAAAGTGCTATTGCGACATGTCTACACACAGTCTGAGGGTGCACAGTCACTCTGTCACCGAACACAAGTGGGCCGGACCTGGTGTGTTTGGGAACTGTAAGTGCGTACGCTATTGACTGAGAATGTGTGGTGAGAAAACCAGCTCGTGTATGCGGAGCAGACGGTGTCGGATACGAGCAAAAGGTCTGTGTCACTGACCGCAGGGCATCTTCTTACGCGTTGGTTGCGAGCTTGGATGCCCACTGCAAGAAGAAAACACGCACCTAATAAGCGTTATTGTTGCTCCAAAGAATTGCACGAGCTGGATGGAACCAAGTCCGAGCGTGAAGGCGAGTGGGGTCGACAGTCGCGCGGGGCAGTCGCGACCGACCGCGATTGCCAAGAGACGTACCTCACATGCGTAGTTGCCTGCTCGTCCTCCGTTATACACTGATGAGTTGATTAACTCTGCAACCTCCACCACTGCAGATACTGTAACGTCTACACTGATTCAACATGGAGCAAACCAAGGCCCTCAACGCTCTCGAGCCCTTTCTCGCTCTCAGCAAGTCCGCAACTTCTCCACGAGCAGCATCGGACTTGATCATGCAAGCCACCAGTGCGCCAAACACATATGTCTTCGCCGAATTATTGCAGACACCCAACCTCCAGAAGCTACGGAGCTCGGAAGAGTACGCCTCGTCTCTTACTCTGCTCGAGATCTTCGCCTGGGGAACTTGGGAGGACTACAAAGGTATGTTGGCAATCGCCTGAACATTGCATCGTGTTGCTGACCATGTGAAGCTCATCCAAATCTCCCAAAACTCTCAGCACAGCAACACCAGAAGCTCCTGCTACTCTCGCTACTGCCGCTTTCACACTCCCACAACACCCTTACCTACAAGCACCTCATGACAGCTCTTGAATTGCCTACCACACGCGCTCTCGAGGAGCTCATTACCACTGCCATCTACTCCGGCCTCATTACCGCCACACTCGACCCCGCACACTCGCTTGTTTCTGTCACATCCATCTCACCACTCCGCGACCTCGCACCAGGGTCACTACCCACCCTTCAGAATACCCTGCAATCGTGGTCACAACGTTGCGATTCAGCGTTAGCAGATCTGGAGGCACAAGTTGCCAAGGTAAAGAAGGAGGCGTTGGACCGAGAAAAGATGCGTCGGAAGAAGGAGCGAGCATTCGAGGCAGTCATGCAGGCCAGTGACGAGAAGAATAATGGCAAGCGGAATCTAATGGGTATGGGGGGCGACGATGCCATGGAGATTGACGAGGACAGTGGCAACGGCAGAACTACCAGGGGCACGAAGAGGGGACCCGGAGGATTCAGCTTCGGCAACTCGGGAAGGCGATAAGGCGACAATGGATGTAGTACCTCGCGCTACTACAACATATGCTGCAAACATATCACCTCCTCGTAATCACAGCTTACCCCCCTCCAAAGATTGAGCGGTACAGGAAGCTGCCTTGCCCATAACAAATGATGCTTGCAGAGGACTGAGGGACTTCATGCAGAGCACAGTCCTGGGGCCTTATTAGCTCTCACACGGCTAAGGCGGGAAGTGTTCTCAGCAGAACAGCCAGGAGTATCAGTAGGCACTTGATAGCTCTACCGCATGGACCCAAACAACCATCACTTCTATAGTGAGAATCGACGAACATAACAATGACACCAAAGATACCACAAGAAACTGATTGAACATCTAAACGTGATGGATTATGACTATGTGCCGTGCATGCCGAACCCCGTCCCCTTGTTGCTCATCCAAAGCTCGCTGATCTATGTAAGTGGTGAAAGAATCATTACCCGAACAACAACAACAAAAAGGCCCAGCAGAGAATCTGGGGTATCTCGCGAATCGCCCATGCATAACCCGCAAATCCCTCGTCAGAACGCCATTGTCTTGGAGAGAAAACGCCATGCAGTGCAGGAAAGAGAGAAAAGCGACCAAGTTAAAAAAAAAAGCCCCCCAACAACAATCATTCTGAAAGATAGGCCACCATCATCATCGTCGTTATCATCTCCTCGATCAAAAAGCATTTGTAAACATAATGATAGCCGCTTCCAACACCTCTGCATCCATCATCCAGCTGTGCCCCAACTCCAGCTCCTAAGCTGGAGCAGCGGGTGGCTGGAACGTCTGAGGCACGGCCTCGCTGCTCTCGGCCTCAACCGTCGACTGGTGCAATTGCGCGATTTGGCCAGCCATGGTGCGCAGAGCTTCTCGTGTCGCGTCAATGTTGAGCTCGCCGCGCTCGGATGCTTCTTTGAGGTATTGTTCCCATTCCGGGTCCATTGGTATGTTCATTGCGCCGGAAGACTCCCGCAGGGCAGCGGCGTGGAGCAGACGCGCGTTCAGAGAGAAGCCTACCGAGGAGGATAGTTCGTTGGAGGTTGAATCCGAGTCGGATTCTTCGTCTTCATCTTCTTCGGCCGAAGAAGAAGAATCGGGCATTTCCGTGTCGCCTCCATTGTTGTGTTGCATGGGTCGTGTAGACTGGCTGTGATGATGATGGTGGTGATGGTGGTGGTTGTGTTCTAGTTCCTCAATCTCCACTTCAATGTCTGTTTTCACGTTGATTCCCGCTCCGTTGTTCCTTGAGGAATAGGCTCGTCGTGTGTCGACCCATGCCCCTATGTCCACGCCCGTTGTGTCTACTACTCTTACGCCCTCGTCCCGCTCGTATCGCTCCCGTGCCCATAGGGTGCCTTCCCACCTGCAGAAGCCTTGAATCTCCGCTTCGGTCAGGCCAAGCCGATCGAAAGCATCGAAGAGGCGCTTGTGGTGTGGGAAGCGTCCAAGACGTTTTCGATGTGGCTGAAAAGCGTAGTTCAAGCCTGGGTACCGCGCTTCGATGGTGTCGAGCGACCCGTAGAAGTTTGCTGTTTCGATGCGAACTTCGCCGACAAGGTTTTTGGAGAGATGGGCGCTGAAGGAGGGTGGGTCGGTCGGGGACGGCGTTGGGAAGAGCGTGTTGTAGACAAGCACGCTGATGGGGTTTTTGCGGTGCATGGTTGCTGCTGTGTGATTTGGCGCTCTTTGAGTTTTACAGTGGCAGAGGCGAGGTTTGCTGGTAGGGAAGTATGCCGCGGTGCGAGGGAGGAAGCGCGGGTAGATGTGCTGTCGTGGTCGCCCGCAGATTGCGCGTTTGAGGGTCGAGCGTGGAAGAACAGCGGAAAGTGGGTTGTCGCAGAATGTGACCGCCTCACCCGGCACCTCTCTCTAACTTACTCCTTACTAAGGAGTCGGCCAGTGTGTGTGCTGACCTCGGGCGTGACCGCTGTTTCCAAGGTTCCCACGTTCTGACGCCGCCTAGCTCTCCCACTAGTTATCAGACGCTCTTCGGAGTGGTGCACACCGGGTACCTGACAGCTGACTCTGCTGTCTTGCGCGTGGGAATTTCCAAAGTCAGTCCCGTGAATGCTATTTGTAAAATCGCTGATTTGCAAGGAGAAGATGCTGGATCCTATTCTTTGCTGCGCTATCCTGCAGATCTTGCGGGCCAGAGGGGAGACCCCGGCTTTTGCTGCGAGATTGGTCGGGAAGGGTGGACGGCGTTTTGCGACGAGAATGCGGCACGGCGAGGATGTGGAAAAACGGTGCAGCTAGCCGCGACCACACAACACAAGCTTGCAAGGTCTGGACGTCGAAGAGGGCGAAGGGCGGAGGAAGACGAACACGAACACGAACAGCATCAGAGGGGAGCAGGCGGATATAAGACATGAAATCGCTCGCGCTCAGGGCCCTCTGCTCTCACCGCCAGCACATGCACGATTATGGCTCACTATTATTCTGGATCCTCCTCACAAATGGCCACACACATGTAGCAACAGGGACCAGACCCTGAAGGCCGCTATGCAAAGGCTCACACCGACGATCCCCAGTTTTTGCTCTTTCACCAGACTGACCTCGGCCGCCCTGTTGAATCTGCCGCCGCCAGCTTAGCACGCAGACTAAGCATAAGCTTCACTGCACCTGTCAGGCCTCGCAGACCGAAGACACGACCATCGTCTGTTTCTTTGCTGTCAAAGGAAGCCTTGTGTCATCATACCTGCGACGGCGGGTGAGTTGTACCCCAGCGCATGAAAGACCAATAGGTCCGCCGCCTCCGATTATCCGGGCCCGAATCTTTGGCATGGATGCCGCGGGACGAAGCATGCACGAGGAACGACTGGTCCAACTCTCTGTTCCACTGCCATGCCTACTGCAGGGTTACTCCAACTCGGCCCATGCCATGCAAGCCAAGACTGTGCGACTGTTGACATTTCCGTGGGAGCGCTCTTGCCGGCGGCGAGTGTCAGTGTCCTTTCACTGCGCCACCAAAAGATACTCGCGATGCAGGGGTGGTGACGGTGCTGGATTTTCTTTTTCCATCTTTGAGGGTGTATTGTAGGCGGAGAGTGGATAGTTCGGCGTCATCCAAGATTGGCCGCCCATCATGAATCACGGGGTCTCCGCTGACACATCGATACCTAGGCCGCTGCCTTCCATCCACACCCTCCAACGTCTACACACTCAGTTTGTCAAAACCCGTGACGAACTGCTTCTTTGTAGTTCCGTCTCATCCGCACCCATGATCGACTGCTGCCTGCGATCCCTCTGTCTATACAAACAGTCTCAATCTTGCACTCTTCCGAAGAGTCCATGTTGTGCATCAAGCTCAGTTTATCACAGCGATTTCTTGTACAGCCCGGACGCATTTGTACTGCATCATTATTGTGTTAACAGATAGGGCGAAGATGTGATATTGCGCCACCAACATAGTGATTGTCGGCCTTCACACGGAGCAGCCGGAGCAGATGACACAAGGCTAGCAGCGTCTTGATGGTGTCGCAGCGCACCATGCGACGATGATAAAATATAAGGCACCATGCGTCTCGCCACGCAGAATCTAGTATTCCGGCTTGCTGGTCTCCTCTCCTTTCTCTTGACCCTGCGCAACAGACATGTCTGCTACTCAGGCACTGGAACCATCCGATCCGTTGATGGGACATGGTTGACTGTCTTTTGATAGCTTTGCGACGGCTGAACTGGCTTCTCTTCCAAGCCAATCTTTCTCTCCGGCCTCCCGGGCGGCAGCATCGCCTTCCACAATCAACAGCCCGAGTTCAATGCCAACTATTCAGCGCTAGCCGGGCTTGCCATCGCCTCCGATCAAGGCATCACGCACATCACATTCAAATTCCATGGGCTGGTAGTGGGGGGTAGCGTCTTTATCGCTGAGCACTGTGCATGATACTCAGACCGGCTATCCTATTTGATATAGACAGGAAGCCCGTAAAGTACTAGAGACTCTCTTCTATGTTTACTAAGTTCCCGTTGCTAGTCTCCCCGTCCGAGTGCATTGGACAGCTGAAATGGACCTACTTTCAAACACGCCAGTCGAAGCCAGTTGGCCGCCTGCATAACTTCGATCAAGCCACCTGAGGACTGTGGAGGTCATTCACCTTCCTGTTTCCATTGCAGTTGAGGAAGTCTGCGATATTGACATCTTTTGGGGCGGCTTTGGCAATTCTGTCACCTGGCTTTGAGCCGTTTACACACCAGGTCTTACGAGCCTATCCCAAACCTATACTCCTGTTCAATACTCTTGGACTATGAGCTCAAGTAACGTATCTTCTCATATTTCGAACGTCGAAAATGTCTATTTCCCCGGCAAGTCTTTGTCTGGATAAGAAGTTCTTGACTGGCTATGTGGCAGGCCTAGAATGCCCTCATCTCTTTGGCTCGATAACGTCCATTAAATAAGTTCTTAGTCTCGCGAAAGCCTAATTTTTCCTTCTTCTTCCTCTTTCCATTTCAGCGCAGCGCTGTTTCCACTTTCAGGGCGTCTCTCCAAGTTGTTTATTCAATTTGGTACAGAACTCCTTTATCCGATGAAACATGAAAGGTGATTAACCACATGGGCGGGAACATCCTGTAAGATTACAATTTTCACTCCTCGAAAGATCACTTCCAAGATTTCTCTCGTTGAGAACCACCATCCAACGCTGTTCAGCCATCGCAGGTCTCAATCTTCTAGCAGATCGCGAAACCACTTTGTACCCGTACTCCATGTGCAACGGTACGCAGAAGCTTGCATACGTCATGGATGCGTAGTTGCCACATTCAAACCCTGTTCTCTCTAGGTGCTATTGGTGTTAACTTGTACCTAGCTGTCGCTGCCATGATTCGTGGTGTTATGACTAGGCTGTGAGATTATCATATAGTACAATGGAGCCAACCATCTACTCGGAAAAATGCTTTCCTCATACCATGTTTGTGAATGATGATACAGTATCAAGAGCGTATGAATTCATGTTATTGAATCGCATCTAAATCCTCGCGAAAAGAAACATTTTGCTTCATCAATGGCCTGATACGTAGGCTTGGTTGGGCGTTAGTTCTTCTGGAAGCATCCTGTCTTCGTTCCAGCTTCTGTTTCTTCCCGTCCCTTTTCTGAAAACACGGTTGATTACACGTATTGCTTCCTGACTTGCGTTTATTTTACATGTGTTACGCGGCTAAATCAGAAGTTACTGCGGAACCCAGAGAACGAGAATTTAGATCAACAATAGAACGAACAGATCTTGTTTTGGGTCGATGTCCATCATGCTGAGAAGGAAAAGGTGCGTGAGTACTTCGCTGTACCTGAAGACTCTGTAGGAAGTCCCGGGAGTGCTCCGTTGATCCAAAGTGTCGCGTATGTGATGAAGCTGTTCGGGGCACGCGACGCACCATCGAAAGTCTAGCAATGACGCAACCGAACCCCACATTCACCGCGGGGCGATACTCGGCCGCGCAGCATCGCCGAACGAGCACAACGGCAGCAAATGTAGGTAGTGATGCCGTTGAGCAATCATCCAAAAACGATCTAGAACGTACTTCGATGGCGTCGCACATGTGCAGGCGTGAGTCAGGCAAGATGCAGCCTTTTAGCTTAAAGCCGTCTCGGGTTTAACGCTCACACTAACAACGCGGGTGGTCATCAGTCTTTTGTAGGATGAGAGCTTTTCCGTTCTTCTTCAACCGTTCTTTATCCGATCTCTGTAAAACTAAAACTGATACTGATTCTGTGTTCTGTTACCAAACGTTGTTCCAAGACCCTTGAGTACAAACCCAGAACGCAGCACACATTTCCAATATGGCTCCTGCAGCCTTAACGCGAATCGCCGGTTTTCTCGGATTTACATCACTCAACGCAACAGGACGAGATGCATACATTATTATTACACTACGGTCATTAAGAATGTTCACGGCAGGCATTCCGTCGCTGATTCTTGCCCTTTTCTTCTCCTCGCTCAAGTTTCCGGATTCAAGAATTGGGGTCTTCATGACATTGACTTTGTTGGGAGATGTCCTGCTGTCATTGCTGCTTACTCTCGTAGCGGATAAACTCGGAAGGAGAAGGATTTTGTTCATGGGTAGTGTAATGATGGCTTGTTCAGGTGTTGCATTTGCTCTGTCGGAAAATTTCTTCGTCCTTCTGGTTGCGGCGGTGTTCGGCATCATCTCTGTCACTGGTGCGGACTGTGGCCCTTTCAGGGCTGTCGAGGAGAGCATTTTGAGTGGCTTGACAGATGAGACAACAAGGAGCGATGTGCTCTCATGGTATGTCACAGCGACAACCATGGCTGGAGCTGTTGGTGCGGAAGTCGCAGGAAGAACAGTACATGCTCTCGAGAAGAGCAGCGGCAACGTGACTAAAGCATATCATGCTCTCTTTTGGGGCTATGCAGCCTTCGGGGTGCTTGGAAGCATTCTTTGTCTCGGTCTCAGTAGCAGATGTGAAGCTGCTGGTGAAAAGACTGCGGAGATGAAAGAACGAAGACGTGGTGGCGGTGGTGATGATGGTGAAGAGGAAGAAGTACTACTAGAGGCCATGACACCAAGCACAACGGATGAATTCGATCAAGACCGCGAGAATGTAGGACGACCAGCAAACATCAGGAGCCCACCACTACAGAAGAAACAGAGCTACTTCAGCCAAATCTCAAAAACTACACGATCTGTCATGTATAAGCTTTGGATTCTCCTGGCTGTCGACAGCTTAGCAGACGGCATGACACCCTATTCACTAATGAACTACTACGTCGACCAAAAATTCCACGTTTCGAAGTCCACGCTTGGAGATATCACTTCAGCTTCCCAGTTTCTCTGCGCCTTTGGAGCGATCTTTGCCGGGCCACTAGCTAAACGTATCGGCTTGATCAACACTATGGTCTTCACCCATCTTCCTTCTTCGATAGCTAGCGCCTTCATCCCACTTCCTTCAAGCGTCGGCTGGACAGTTGGACTGCTACTTTTCCGAGCTACTCTGAATAGCATGGATCAAGCTCCACGTACAGCTTTCATTGCTGCAGTTGTGAAGCCTGAGGAGCGTACAGGAGCCATGGGTATCACGAGCATGCTGCGGACTTTAGCCATGAGCGTCGGACCATCGATCACAGGATTCCTTTCTGGAAGCAATAATTTTTGGGTGGCTTTCCTGGCTACTGGAATCTGCAGAGTCACCTACGATATCGGACTGTGGATACTTTTTGTGAATGTGAAGGTAAACAAGGACATCGGACAAGAAGAAGACGTGGACAGCGTTGACGACGATACTTGGAATGGACTGCTCAGTGATACGGAGAGCGAAATCAGTAGTGAAGGAAGGAAGAGCAAGGATATTGATCACGGAAGCAGGGTATAGTGATTCAAATGCTCTGAGTTCTATCCTATCAATCGGAAAATGAATATATCTCCTTTGAAATTAGCATGCAGCCTTCTCTACTCCCAGGATAGAATTGTCCCGGTCATCCGTATACAACTTGACCTTGACTGCTTTCGCTTGTTTCTTCTTAGCTGCCAAGCTATCATTGGTATCAAACCTCTCCTTTGTTTGATGATCCAAACCATGTAGGAACGAAACAAGCGCGCTGCTTTTCCACACTTGTGTGCCCGACGTATGTGTCATTGTCATCGCAGCGAGCAGGAAAACCAAAGTGGCCACAACAGCCGCAATCGGTAGTACTGCGAAACCCCATCGGACGTGGACATATGACTCAACCGTTATCGATTTCCCGTTGGTTTCCACGGCGCCATTGAAGCCACGGAAGGCGGTGGTCATCGATATAGCCAGATCGCTCATAAGCATATTGATTCCGTTGGCATACTCGTAGTAGTTCCAGTAGAATGCTGTCACTATGTCCGTATCAAAGAAGGTTTCGCCTGATGAGATTCCGACTGTGAGGTTGACTACAACGGCCCGGTCTGGATCTGTCACGCTAAGGGTAAAATCGCTAGTCGTGCGTGTCGCAGAGCCGTTGGTAAAGATCGCGCTGAACCAACCCCGTATGCTCAAAAGCGCCTCCATGCCGAGCAGGTACGCAGTGTCGTCTGTATTGCCAGCAATGTACACGCCATAGTCAGCAGCAGGATCAGGTGAGCTCATGTCAATGACAGTATGATTGAGTACTGAATGCGTGATGTTCTCCTGATGTGTACCGTTTGTGACCGATGCGGACAGTGTATTCGCGCATGCTTGTAGGCTGCATTGCGATGCCCAAGGATTTAGCTTATCTGGTGTGTCTTGAAGCTCCGTACCCATGAAGATGAGCCGGATCATCGTAGAGTGGGGCATGTCTCCATAGGCAGATGGTATGAAGGACGTCATACTAAATACATCAGAACTTGTATTTACTGGATAACGATGCAACGAGTCAGTACTTATTCATTTGTTATTGATGGATAGATGGTACTCACGATGTGCTCCTGGTGGAACTTGCCACCCGCAAGAAGACATGTTTGGCGATGGACCCAATTCAGGTGGACAGTACCGCGTAATGAGAGAGCTGATATCAGTGCATTCATGGCAAACAGCGAGGGTCTCGAAGGGCTCCCAGACACAGGTACCACTTTGGCACTTGAATGGTAGCGACGCCGCAGGTCTGTTGTTCTCTGCGAACAGGCCATTGTAAACTGCTGCTTTGAGTGGAAGGATAGGCACGAAACCAGCTAAGGCAGTATGAGTTTACAGTATCATTCAACGTACAAGACTACTCACTCGTGCTTGTGTTACCTGCTAATGCGGGAGTAAAGTTGAGAGCCCTGGGTATAGTGGCACCTATGTCGCTTTCCACGCTTCGGACTTTGTAGGTTGCGATTTGCTGAGAGAAAGGCCCAAGAGCAAGGGCAACAACAGCGACAGTAGCTCCGAATGATCCGAGAAATCTGTTTGGACGTGCGTTAGTCACTTCATAAGCCGATTTGGCGCGTTAAAGACGTACCCTCCTCTGGCAGTTCCTAGTAATTTGATGGAACCCCACGAACCACGACTAGCATCATCGAAGGCCTCCATATCAGATAGTGGGGTCGATGCCTGCTTGAATCGGATCCATTTTGCCTGCGATATTCCACTTGAAAGGCAAACAGACATTGCGGCATTTGCGAACGTGGCTAACAGAGCGATAAGAGCGTTCAGAGTGATGTCGTGAGGCCAGTCAGGTAACGCACGCCCGTTGTATTTCGATACTACACCAATTATAGAAGCAACAGCACCGAGACCAACGACAACGGCTAAAACTAGATGTAGGTGTATCGAGTTAGTATATGTTCTGAATGTAGTTTATCCGGGGATATGTCTTACTCTCGAAAGCCCAGGACCGTGCACGGGACAACCCAGCCTGGTTATTAGACTTTGTGCTACATACTTCCGAAGTCACAGCTGTACTGTTTGTAGAGGAACTCCAATGTGGTACGTGCTTCTTTATAGACGGTGACTTGACCGTTGAGCGCGGACTGGTAGGACTGAAGTCGAAGTCATGTATCTCTTCATAGTTCTGCAGCGTAGACGAAGGCGGGGTGTAGTCCTCGTTGACTGGTGTCACTTCCACGGCGTGCTGTATCTTAGATAGTTGTTGGTACGCCATCGCGAAGCGAATTTTGGAGCAGATAGTCGCCGAAGATGGGCCTCAACGTCAATGTTTCACAACTAGGTGTGAGGCTCCCGGGGTCAGGTTTGGGTAACCCAGATATCCATGGATGTATAAGGGATTTCTACTCTGGTCAGCCACAACTTCCAAGCGTGATAAGCACAGCTCAAAAGCCCTCAAGACATGGTAAGCATATGCCGCGATGCCCACGTTAGGGTTGAGCCCGTCCCGCGCCTCCTCTACGCAGCCTTGTGGTGAGGTTCTGACGGCTTCTATTCGTCGACTACAATGCAGATATTATCTGCCACACACTGCATCCTTGTATCTCACTCTGTAGTCTCAGGTGCAAGAGACGATCTTGCCGATAAGCAAGGTAGCGGCGCAGCAGGTTCATAGAACATCAGCTCGGCGCTCGCAGCGGCGCGTTGGGACAGGCAGCAACCTAAATGATCGGCAGGCTATGCAGAAGTTCTGGAATATGGTCAACACGCAATCTTCATACTGATACTCTGAGCCTGACCAGTATCGACAGCAATTGTTCTCACTAAATATAGAGCTGCTGCAATCCCCGCACTTTCCGCCCCATACTCGGCCAATACATCTTCATCTAGCTTAATTGATCTTGGCATGATCAGCCTGCAGAGATAAGCCAGAGCACCATTCGCTAATAGATATGATAGATATGATGCGAACAAGTCTTCTTTCTTAGGTAGGTGGCGATGGCGTCGTAGTGCATGTTGTTGGTACGGAGCGGAAGGGTGAGCGTTCAAGGGCCCCCTGGCGGCTGATTAGGTTGGGCCGAACAAGTAAGCTAGCTGACCGGGATGTTGATCACCCGGGGATGTTGATCACTCACAAATCTCAGCACTCCCACACAAAACACGTGTTATCTCTCCACGTACTCAACCAAAATGGGCGACCGTGAAGCAGCTA